CTTCCTGAGGGGGGATGGAGGTGGGGAACCCCAAGAGGAGAGTCTAACACGGGCCAGGGCCCGGCGCCAGAGCATAGGTAGGGTGTGTGCCCAGGGAGTGGCCCCTGGGGCCACTTGGTGTGCGTGGTGGGGATGCCTCGTCAGCTGGCCGAGTGGGGCTGTGCGAAGTGCCAGGGAATCCCTGGCTGACAGTGGGGACTGGGAGGGGGAGGCCACGGCTGCCTACAGGCCCCAAACAGCTCAGATTCAAAAACAAAACAGGCTTTTAAGATGCCAAGTTTGATGAAATCTGAGTGCTAGAAGAGGTGGGAGTTTTCTCTTGGAAAAAAGCTGAAAGTCGAGGCTGAAAGCTGCAAAGGGAGATGGACCCAGGCCCCCCCAGGCCTCCCTTCTTTCCTGGAAGCCTGGGGGCGAGGCCGGGCTCTCTGGGAAGAGTGGATCTTGCAGGTCTGGAGCGGCCTTTGGACCTGCTGGGGGATGTCTCATCCTGCCCCTGCTGGGAATGGAGCTGCCTCGGGGACGGGGCCTGAGGGGGCCTCGGTTTCCTCACAGTGCTCGAGGGCTGGGCCAGCCAGCAGCTACCCATGCAGTTCCTTCACGTGTCTCAGCATGTCTTTATGTGTCCATGTCTCTGTCCCTGTGTCTTCAGGTCTCAACACACGTGTAACTCTGACTGCACCCTTCCACATGCATGTTTGCGTGCCTGTGTGTGCTACCTCTGGATCCGCTTGCACGAGCCTTTCCACAGGTGCTTGTCACTGCACGTGCCCCTCCACATGTACATGTAGGTCTGTTTTCACACCTCTCTGTTTCACCATGTGTATCTCTGTGACTGTACATGTTTTTTTGGGGGGTGGGGGTGTTCAGAGACATGGTGAGACCAGACCCAACACTCATGCACAGGGAGGAGGTCAGGCTTACAGACAGTGCCGCCCCAGGAAGCCTGTGGATGTGTGTGCCTGCATGTGCACAGACGCCAAGAAGCTGGGTAAGCCAGGGTGAGGCGGTCCTGCTGACAGACGGTGCTGCCCACCCTGAGACCCTGCAAGGCGTCTCCATCTGTCAGCCTCCCTGGTCAGCCCCCTCCCTCTGGCCCAGGCTCCGCCTCAGGCATCTCAGGCTCCGCTGACAAAGAGACCTGTGTGCACTGCTCGGGGGCCTCAGCAGCCCCCTCCCCCAGTCACTGCAGCCAGCTGAAGCTGATCCCTGTCCACCCCCACCCTCAGCTCATCTATCAGGACCCCAGTGTTTTCCTTAGCCTCAGCCAGACTCACTTTTCCCACCCTCCCACAGCCCTTGCTCAGGCAGTCCCTCCCTGCTGCAGAAAGCTCTCCCACCTCCCAAGCTCCAATGTTTCCTATTCTTACCTCTTCTCCTTCCTCCAGGAAGCCACCGCGCGCAGGTGAGCTGTGGAGGTGAACTGACTCAGCGCTGTGAGGCCTCAGCCAAGCTCCTGCCCCTTTCTGACCCTTAGTCTCCCAACTCTCCAACCCGCACGCACGGACACACCCGGTCACCTTACTCTGCCCAGGACTGCAGGATAGGGCGCCGGTCTCCCTCTGCAGTATCTAAAAGCGCAGTTTGGAGCGGGAGCCACATGTGCGCACCCCTGCGGGTACACAGGGGTCCATGGGGGCAGTCCCTGGGAGCATGTGTGTGCGCCCTGTGTGCGCACATGTGCACACAGCTGCATGCAGCTGCAGTCCACAAACAGCTGTGGAGTCTTTGGCTCCTGGTACTTCTCAGGTGCCCAGAGCCTTCTCCATCCTGTATCAGAGGATGGATGGACTTCGGCCCCAGGAGGGACAAACACTGCAGATGCCCGGCATTTAGGCTGCAGGTGTGTGAAGACCTGCTCCTATCGCTTAAGCGGGAAGGATGCCTAGGAGGGAGAGTCTCTTCGAGTTAGGAGTTAGGAGGTGGGGGCCCTGGGAGGGGACGCAAGGACTCCACCCAGGTGAAGAGGGAGGGGCCGGAGCTGCGCGCCGCTTGGACACGCGCAGCGGCGGCGCCGCCGTTGCTATGGTTACCGGGTGGCCTGGGAGGGGGAGGGGCCCTTCCCTTCCCTCCCGCTCCGCAGGACTGGGTTTTAAACGGACTCGGCCTGAAGGGTACATTCGGATGTTGGAACCTGGGTGCATGGCCTTCCCAGGGGTGGCCGCGTGTGGGGACGGTCGGTTCGTTTTGCAGTAAATGAAAACGCCGAGGCTTGTGTGCAGGGGGCCTGCGGTGAAGTGGTGAGCCCTGTCAGACGGCAGAGGGCGTGGTTTGGGGGGGTGTTGAACCAGCCTTGGGGAGGTGAGCCGAATGGTGGCACGGTGTCCCCAGGGGTGCCCTCACCTCTCTTAGCCCTGCCCTGCCCTGAGCCCTGCCAGGCACTGGGTCCCACCACCTGGGTTTATCCCCAGCCCCACCTCCCACCAAACTGTGTGACCTTGGGCAGGTTTCTAGATCTAAGTCTCCATCTGTTTATATAGCTCAGGGTTTGGGAGAGATTAAATCGTTTTATTAAAGCATTTTAACTCAGTGCTACCTGTGAGGTGGTAAAAGCTCCATTAACACAACCTTTTCTCCGTCGTGTCTGGGCCTCAGTTTCCCAATTGTCGGTGGTTTGGAGTGATGGTGTGGCACCTGCAGAGGAGTCTGCCTTGGTCTGCCTGAGGGGTTCCGCCTGCCCCTCACCACAGGGCCCAGCTCCTGAGGGAGCGCAGGGGGTAAACGTGCCGGTCGGTGCCGTTTACAACCGCGTGCCCAGTGCTCGCCTCGTCCAAGGCGCACGGCGGGCAGCAGTACCCGGCTGCGGCCCCCGGCTGCATGTGAACGTGCTGGAGGGCCCAGGTGAGCGTTGAAGGGTGAGACAGCAGGGGTCACTCCGGAGGGGCTGGAGTCCTCCTGTGACACACGCTTCTCCTTCCCGAGGGGCAGAGTGCCGCCCTGCAAGTGACGCCTGGAAGCCTCCTTGGCGCAGGGGAGTGGCTGCTGGGCCCTGCTGTCTGACGGGCAGCTGTTTGCACGCGCCGGCTCTGGGCTCTGGTGGCGGTGCCAAGGATGGAGCCATTGAGGGAGGAAAATTAATTGTCCTTAATTTGGCGTACAGCCCAAAGACCTTCCCCGTGTTAGGAATTCAAAGCATACTCCTAGGATGCGGGGCTGCCGGTGTCTGTGCTTCTTCCCTCCTCCCTGATCAGTGCCTTGCTGGCAGGGTGGGGTCCGCTGGCGGCTGGGCCCTAACTCTGGCAGGCCTGTCCCCTCTGTGCGCCCGCACCTCCGTTGCCTGGGGAGGGCTTAGCAGGTGTTACTGAGGGATCTCAGTCTGGGAGGAACTAGACGGGAGGGCTAGGGTGGCTCGGGCGGTCCTGCTCGCCCCCAGCTGCTGGGGAGAACAGGGAGGGCGGTAGGGGAGCCCCGGGCTTTCTGTGGAAGCAGGTGGTAGCAGAGCCAGTGGGAGACTGTTCCCCTGCTTGGTGCACCCCGAGTCCTGCCTCATTTCCATCCTCTTTTCTTGTCACTATTTAAATTTTCCTTTTAAAAACCAGAGCTGAAAGTTTGGACTCTGTGGGCTCATATGTGTAGCCACAGAGACTCTCGGGTCCCGCCTGGAGTCTGCAGAGCTGCGGGTCCTGCCAGCCGGGAGGCTGGGGAGGTGAGACCGTGCTGGGAGTCCTGCTGCTCCCCTTCCAGACCCCTCCTCCCGATGGGGCTGCAGCCCCTTTGGCCACTGGAGCCTTGGCAGAGAACCCCCAGGGTCTGGGCCAGACAGAGGGATGCCTTGCTTCTGCCTACGAGGGCTCCTCCAGCTCTCTCCTGCCTGCCCCTCACCCCTGTCAGCCTCCCTGGGCCTCAGAGAGTTTTCAGGCAGGACAGGACTGCCATCCTTTACTTTTCCCCTCTGAGAGTGCCCCGTGTCCTTTCCCTGGCACAGGAGCCTGACCTCGGCACACGTCCCCACACACCCACCTCACACCAGGCCTGCTGGAGGGAGGTGCGGAGCCCTGCTAGTCTCCTGGTCTCCCCTGCCGTGGAGCCCCACACCCCCACCTGGAGCCGGACAGTGTACAGTGTTCCCCTCCCCCTCCTGGGCGTGCCCGGCGTCCACACTGGTGGAGAGGCTGTGGTGAGCTCACACAGCCTGTGGTTTCCTCCTGGGGGAAGGGCCTCCTGCCCGCCCACCCCGGCCATGGTACCTGTCTGCCCCAGTGGCTCAGCCCTCGCTAGTTACAGTAGTGCAAGCTGATGTTCATTGGCTGCAGATTCCTTGTCAGACACTCTTCTGCACCTCACGTGTGTTATCAGATGCCCTCGTGATGGTTTTACAACGTAGGCGCTTGAACCCCCTTTCAGATAGAATCGGAGCTATGGAAAGGATCTGTAACACACTGAGGTTACAGCTGGGCTGTGGTGGAGGTGGGGGTCCTTCCTGGTCTGCACTCGTCTGGACCCTGTGCTCCCAACCCCTTTGCTTCCACGGTTGGGGAGACCCTCAGGGCCTGCCCAGGAGTCTCTGTGCGGGGATTGGGGTGGGGTGCTGCCGACCTCTGTTCCTGCTGACTGGGGCAAGGGACTCCTGTGAGCCGGAAGACACAGCTAGGGAGGAGTTTTGCCCCTTCCTCCCCCCACCTGCCCCCCATCAACTTTTGGTGTTCTCAGAGCTTTTTCATTTTCTTAGCCTGCACACGTTCAGACATGGGCCCCAGGCCTGAGTCTGGACCCCAGGTCAGGACTGAGGGGGAGGGTCAGGGTCACAGCTGCATGGAGACTGGGTCAGAGTCAGGGGCCGAGGGTGGCTCGTTGGTAGGGCGGGGGTGTTCTGAGGCACTGCGTCAGGGTGGGCCCCACTGCTGCCCCCGGCCCTGTGAAGGGTCGGCCCGGTCAGGGGCGTGTAGGACTCTGCCTAGAAGTCCGGGACCCGGGAAAGAAGAACATTGAATCTTAGGGATCCCAGCCACCCTGGGAGTCAGGGCGTCCCAGCCCTCACACGCACATCTTCTCTCTGCCTGCAGAGGACCAGCTGCCCCCCGGGTTCCCCTCCATCGACATGGGGCCCCAGCTGAAGGTGGTGGAGAAGGCGCGCACGGCCACCATGCTGTGCGCAGCGGGCGGGAATCCAGACCCCGAGATCTCGTGGTTCAAGGACTTCCTCCCTGTGGACCCCTCCACGAGCAACGGGCGCATCAAGCAGCTGCGTTCAGGTGAGCAGAGGGCTGCACAGACGGGGAGGGGAGGTGTGGGGCCCACACCCAGCACAGCCTTCCCGCCTGGGCTTGGGTGCCTGGGCGCTGCAGGAGGCCTCAGCCTGGGGGCGACCCTCCAGGGCTGAGCAGAGGGCACCCGGTGGGTGTGCCAGCTCTGGCTCTAGACCCACCTGGCCCGGGAAGAGAGCCTGGCTGTGAGGGCTGGTCCTGGGTGGTTCTTTCACCGTCCGGGATGGTCGGACTCCAGACTGCGGGTCGGCTCTGCTCCTCGCGGCACGCATGTCGTGCCCAGCCTGGCGCTGCGCTCTGCAAGGTCGTTCTGTGGGTGTTCGTCCTCCACCTTCCCCGCAGCCCGGCCTGAGAGTGGGGCCCGGACAGTGCTTCTCTTTACTTCTCCAAATGGCAGGGAAAGGGGCCAAAGATGCCTGATTCCTCGGGCCTCAAAGGGCTGGGCTTCCGAGCTTGGGGCCAGGGGGAGTTGCTGCCGTCCCTTGGACACCGGGGTCTCCTCTGGATGTCTCAGTGGAGCCCGCGTGCAGCCCTGGGAGCAAGGATGCCGTCTTGACCAGGCGGGAGGTGTCGCCCCGCTGATCGATCTGCCCGCGAGGCTCCCGCCAGGATAATTGATTCAGTTTCTGTGAGGACGGAGCAGGCGGGAAAGGAGGCTCAGGTTCAGCTTGGCTACATTCTGCATCCGCCGCCAGCATGGCTGGGCCGACAAGCCGTGGTCCAAAGTCCTCCTGCTAGCTGCGGGATGGGGCACGCCGGTGGGATGGCCAGCGCCAGCCAGAGCCCCTGCTCCGCCTCAGCTGTGATGTCAGCACTGTGAAGGAGGACATGCCTCTGCTCCGCTCAGCTCTGCTGGCTTCAGGGGCACCCCTGCCTCTCCCTGGGGTGCCGGCCCCTCCCCCCGGCTCCCACCCGGTGGACACCCCCTTGGTGCCCAGGGAGGTGGGAGAGATGATCCGCCCAGCAGGGGCAGGATTCTGGCCCCAGCCACAGCCGCCTGAGACAGCCTACAAAGTGTTAGCTCATTTAATTTAATTAAAACTCAACAAGATGGAGGCAGCTGTAGCGCAGTTAATTAAAACAGTCATAATCAAGGCAGGAAAGAGTCTGGCTGCATGTGCAGCCGTTGCCCGGCGCTGCCCAGAGGCCGGCAGGGTTCGGCTCCTCTGTCCCCCCACCCTCCCCCAGGCAGGCTCCCCCAGCGGCCAGATGATCCTCCCTGCAGGTCTGGCCTCCGCCCCTGACGGCCCTGCCTGCCCGTGGGTGGCAGCGGTGCGGTGCTGGGAAGTCGCGCCGTCTCACGCGTTCATCCGTCATGTGTTTACGCAGCGCTCGCTGGGTGCCAGGCCTCGTGCTGCCCGTTCACTGCCCCGGGAATTGGCTCCCGCCCAGCACTCCACCCAGGGCCGCTCAGGCCACAGCCTCCGCGTCCTCTCAGCAGCAGTCCACACCCCTCCCTCCTGCTTGACCGCTCCCTCCCAGGGCTCCCCGGCTTTTCTCTGTCTGCCCCGCAGCCCCCTCCTACTCTGCTGGTTCCTGCAGCCGCCAGGAAGCAGGCTAGCCCTGCCCTCGCTCGCCCCATGGACAGAGCCCTTCCCCTTGGGCTCTGCTCACTCCTTCCTGTATCTTCAGGCACCCGCTCCGCTCCTGCAGCTCCCAGATCTGTCTCTCCAACCCAAACATCTTGCCTGTGCTCTAGACCAAAAAATGTATCTGCCTCCTGGGCGTCACCCTGACCATGATGAGTGATGACTCCTTCCCAAACAGCCGCACCCTTCTCCCGCTGACCCTCTCCCTGTGAGTGGCAGCCTCCCCACCTGAAACCCTGGCTCCGCCTCCAGTAAGGACCCACCAGCTCCTCTTGATTTGTCACCATCGTGACTCGCAGGTTGGTGCCCTTTTCTCCTTGCGTTGCCTGCGTTGGCTGTGTCCTAAGTCACCAAACACTGCTCTCCCTGCCTCCGGGCTCTCCCCTGGAGTCCCTCTTCCAGCAGCCATCAGAGTTTCCTGCTCCTGTCCCTCTGTGCTCTGACACCCTCGTCACCTGCACAGGCAGGCGTGTGCCCCAGACAAGACACACGCAACCCTTCCGTGTGTGTCTTCCTCTGCTCACACCTCCAGCTTTATCTCATTGGGTCCCAGCTGCACCTCTGTCAGGCCTCGTTGGCCTCAGTGAGGTTATTTAATTTCTCGGAGCTTCAGTGTTTTCGTCTTCAGAAAGGAGTTGCAGTGAACTCTCAGTGAGACAGGCAGTCGGAGCTTTAGTTCGCTGCCTGGCATGTGGTGAGGGCTCTGGGGTCACGACTCCTGTTACTCCTAGCTGCTCCCCACTCACACTGAGCCACCTGACCCCATCCAGCCCTCTGCTTACATTCACCAGAACGTACAGCCCCACCCTTCTCTGCCCCAAACCTACTCCTTTAGGACCCATCCGCTTTAATTTTTACCATCTGGCTCCAGCTCTGCTCACTTAGGCTGAGCACGCCTCACAGGGAGGGCCTGGGTCTGGCTCCCCCTTCGAGAGCCCCCCCAGAGCCCCGCACTGGCCCAGCTATAGGACAGGTATCTCTGAGCCCTTGCTGATGAATTACTTTGTGAGCGTGACCTGTGGACCCTGTACCTGCAGACTGATGTCCACTCCTTCTGCTTCCCAGGTGCAGGAAAGACCTCTTTGTTAGACCTTTTCTGCCCCCGGGCAGCTGTGATCCGAGGGTGGTCGGCCCAAAACCCAGCCGCTAGGATGGGGCCAGATGGCACCCGAAGGGACTCAACCATCTCACCTCCAGGTGGAGGTACCGAACAGGACTCTCCCCCGTCACTGCCTGACCCTGGCCCCCGGCCCCTGATCCCAATAGCTGCTGCCCCGGTCCTGTTACCACTTCAGAATGTGCTGGGCTCTCCTGTGCATATTTACAGGGACATCCCATTGCAGAGTGAAATCAGGCCCCCGAGCACTCGGCTGTTTTACAGGGACTTTCACGGTTTACGCACCATTGACAGTTTACAAAGCGCTTTCCTGCCTTTGGTTGCACTGGATTCTCCTGCAACCCTGAGAAGTAGGACAAGCTCTGATTACCATGCCCACTTTACAGCTGAGTTAAGGTAGTCCCCTGGAGTCACACGTGGAGGTGCAGGGCCAAGGAGCTCCCCTGTGAGGTCCACCAGGAACCTTCAGGTATCACATGTGCAGAAACGGGGCCTGGGGAATGGCTGGACCCTGCCAGGGCTGCAGAGCTGCTCAGTCCCATTCTGTCCGGACTTCAACCGCCCCCCCTCCCCACACCCCCCAGTGCCCACAGGTATCTCTGGGCAGCACCACAGCAAATGTCACCAGGGTGTGGCAGATGGTGGTGTGTGCCCGGGTGTGAGCTCTGCTCAACAGGCACGTTCCTCACTGAAGTGACGTGACCTGCTGCAGCAACACGAGCCCCTTGGAGAATTTGAACCTGAGAGCCAGGGTGGACCCAGGAGGAATGGGACAGGTTTAGGGAGAGTGGAGATCGAGTCAGGAGCGGGCAGGGTCCCTGGAGCAGTGAGTGGGGACTTGCCTCTCAAACAGGGCTCTGCGCCACTACCAGGTCCTGAGAGGAACTGTGGGCCCCGTGCTCTGCCAACCTGGACAGAGCCCTAAGGAGACCTCCCGTGACCTGCTCATCCTGGTGCCGGAGCGTGTGGGCTGCCCTTCCCGCCACAGGTCATGCATCGAGGGCAGTGTGATGCCCGTAGGGCCGTCTCCTTCCACATACCCCTGGGCCGAGACTGCAGGGCCTGGAGCAGAGGTGCCAACACCTGGCTCCCAGAGGAAGCCTGCCGACCCCAGCGGATGGGACCCGGGGGGGAATGCAGAGCAGTCCCTGGAGTGGGCCTGGGGCCTGCGGCTCTGCTGGCTGGCCACAGGTCTGACGAGGAGAGCCTGCCCCCCGGCTGCGCCCTTGCCACCCTCTGGGTCTGCCAGGAGGATGTGCTGTCGGCACGTGGTCACAGTTTCCTTCTGGCCTGAGCACACCGGCCCCTCTCACGGGCAGGGCCGGCTCCCGGGCTCCCTCGGTGCCTCGCAGCCACCTTGTGAAATGGAAACGGCAAACCCTCACTTCGGTTTGATGGGGAAATGTCTGTTCTGAGATGCCCAGAGACTCACTGTGCAGCAGGGTCGGTTTCAGAAGAGCCGAGGCCAGGACCTAGGGCGTCCCAGACCTGGGCCACGCACACCGCCTGCCCCCGGTCAGGCCAGGCCCCCAGGAGTAGATGGGTGGCTGTCAACTTTCGGGCCTCAGGACCTCTGACTGGAAATAGCAGAGGGCCCCAAAGAGCTTTCGTTTTAGGTTTTATCTATCAATATTTACTGTGTTAGATGTTAAGATGAAGAAGATCTTAAATATTTATTAATCTACTTTAAAATAACTTAAAAGCCCATTACATGTTAATGAAAAGTAATCATATTCTCTAAAACAAAACGTTTACTGGAAAAGAGAGCAGTGTTGTTTTACACTTTTATAAATCTTTTTAAATTTTACGCTTGCCAGCAGAGCCAGACTCTCCTGTCCGTTTCCGCACTCGGTCAGGTGCTGAGCACCCAGCACGGAGCCCCTGGGAAACCCCACCGTCTGAGGGAACGAGAGCGAAAAAGACAGATGATTTCTTAGTGTGATGAAAATTGGTTTGGCCTTGTGGACCTTCTGAAAGGGTCTTGGGGACACTAAAGGTCCCTGGACGGAGCTTGGAGGGTCGTGGTGGTGGTTCTTTCTAGACAGCCCCTCTGCCCTCTGCCCTCGTCCCACAACCTCCCCCCACCCCCGCCCCGGGCCCCAACAAGCTGCCTTTGCCTCCTCTCCAGCCTCTGTGTCTGCAGGAGGCAGGCAGCCTAGTCCAGTGGGGAGGTCTCATGCCAGACACACTGGGTCGATTCCTGTCTCTTCACTCAAAAGCCGTGTGACCTTTGGGCTTTGGTCATTTAGTGTTTCTCAACCTCTGTTTCCTCCCTTCTGCACGGAGATAGATCATTCCCCCGGGCGGGTATCATCAGGTGCAAGGGGATGGTGATCATTGTTCATCTCCTGGCACACGTCCCTCCCCAGAGATGGACAGAGAGGCACGAGGAGTGTGTGGGTGGGCCCGGGCACAACACTGTCTTCCCCCTACCCCCCACCGGTGAGGTGAGGTGATGGTGGGAGAGAGGTGTGAGCGCCGCCTCGGAGGAGGCCCCACCGCCGGGAAGGGGGCCTGCCCAGACCTCGCCCTCGCCCTGCCTCAGGCTCTTGGAGGGTGAGCGCTTGGCCCTCTCAGCTACTGCCCCCCGGGATTACTGACCAGACGAGGGGTGGGCACTGGCCTCTGGCTATCGCTAGTCAGGTTGGGGAGAAGCTGTTCGGCAGAGCTGGGCGGTCTGCACAGGGGGTCTGCTGCTAGGTTGTGAGTTCGACCTCTGGGAGCAGCAGGGTGGGCCGGTAGGTGTGTGTGTTCAGGGAAACCTGGTTTGGTGGTCACCTGTGGCGAGCCTTCCTTTTTGCCCATTCTCTCTCTCTGCCTAAACGCCCTGCTTTGTTTTGGTAAGTGCCTTGCTTTGAAGTCTACCACCTGTGGATTTGGACGGCCCTGCAGGGTGGGGTTGCCCCCTCTCTTCTTCACCTCCCCCTTCCGTTGGCCTCAGCCAGTGGGGTCTGCAGCAGCCCCGACCAGACCGGCCGCCTGATGCCCACCACCCCAGCCCCGTGGAGCCCCACCCCACAGTCTCCCTCCTCAGAGCAGTGCCCGTGGCCTGGGGGACACAGCCTCACCCACACACAGCCCGCACACACACGGCCCGGGTCGGCCCAACTCAGGCCTCGATTTTCCCGTGTATTTAAGGCCCTTTTCCCTTTTCTAGTGTTTTATTTTATCTGATTGGCTTTTTGTGGCTTTCCTTCCTTTTGTACTAATGCTTCTCTCTGATCTTATTTGCATTCAAATTACCTCGCCAGGTGGTTCACCAATTAGAGGTAAGAATGCTGTCCGTGCATCTCGCCACGCCACACCACGCCTCGCCACTGCCGTCACCACCACTCCATCCCGTCCCGTCCGTCGCCTCCCCCATCCCCATCCCGACCTCTCCAGCCTCATCTCCAGCTCCGGCCCCCTCAACGCCACCAGCCACTACACACATCCACTCTCGGTCATTCCCTCCTGTGGACTCATCCATTGCCAGTCTGGATTGTGAAGAGACCTCGCTGAACCCCACCTGGGGGACGGCAAACCCTATTGCCCAGGCCTCCTAGGCCAGCCCCGCAGAAGAGACCTGCTGACCCTGCAGGGAAGCCCAGCGCTGGTCCCCAAGGCCGGCCATAGAGGGAGAGTCTTCCCGTGAGGTGGGGGAGCTTGACTAAGCCTTGCCTTTCCTCTTGAGAACTCCTTTGTCTCGGGGCCCTCAGTTATTACTTAACTGCCCTGTAACATTCTGGCCCTGTGGTAAAAATGAGGACCGTCCATAAATGCCTCAGCCCAGCAAACACTAGGAGGAACGTGTAGTTAAAACTTCAGTGTAGAGGGTGGGATGGCAACAGAAATTCAGGGTCCTGTGGGACTCGATCCTCTGACCTGCTAATCCCCGGCTGTTTCTATGCAGAAGCCCTGCAGCCTTGGGGTTCAAAGCCCATATTCTGGACTCAGAGATCCAGGTGCAAGTGTGACTCACCCCCTGTGTGGCCTTCAGAAAATTGATTCATCTCTCAGAAGTCTGTGGCCCCCTCTTTGTATGGGGGCCAAAGCCCCACCTCACGGGGTCGAGGGCCAGAGGAGAGGATGAGGGCTGGGTAGCACCTGGCGCAGCAGGCACTCTGTAGAGTGGTTGCTTCTGTACTATATTCACTCACATCAGTTTCTCCCCACCTTCCAAGTGTCCTCGGGTACATCTAGACCCTCAGAGTTCAGGGCCACAGTGGTCTCAGGATAGAAGGTGGGGCTGGGAGGAGCAGATGCCGCCCCGTGGAGGCTGGTTCCAGTTCAGGGGTTTCTGTGTGCAGATAGGCTCAGGGTCTGTGTTGGGGCCCCCGACCAGTCCTGGCTGTCGGGGCAGGGGAGCCTCCTCTCCCTCAGGGGTCACCCCCGGGCACCACTTCCTGTTCCTCTCTGTGGCACCATCCCCCAGCTGAGCTGAGCTAAGCTTAGTGCAGCCCCAGCCGGGGGTGTGACCCCCACCTGTTTGAATGAATGTTTTCTGTAACAGCGTCCATCCATCCCATGAACATGACCTACTGGGTGCCATTGGGCTGCTCTCCCGGGAGAAGGGTGTTCGGCACGTGCCCTGGGCCCTCACGCTCCCTGCTGCCGAGGGAAGCCGGGACCACAGAGCAGGCCAGCCCTTCACCTGCAGCAGGGCTGAGCCTGCGAAGCCCCCTCCCTGTCTCCATCTCCCAAACCCCTGGTGTTCGCAGCACCTCCTGCTGACCTGGGTCTGGGGCATGGGGGAGAGGTGTCAGGTGGTGGGGGGGCTGCAGCTCGGGTCCGTGGGGGTCCTCCCTGGGGCCTGGGCTGTGAGAGCCTGGCTTGGCACTCTTCCCGTGGCCCCCGTCCAGCCCCGTCAGGTGGGGACCCACAGGTTCTCGGTGTCCTGGGTGGGTGTGGCCATCAGCCACCCTGGGGCCTGGGAGGAGTGGGCTGTTAGGGTCGCTCTAGCTGTCCTGTGCAGGCGGTGTTTTCTGTCAGGCCGTGTCCGGTGGGGTTATTAACTGTCCAGTGTGGGCGTGGCTGTCTCGGCTTGTTCCAGGGAAGCGTGCTACCTGTGCCCCAGGGTGTTACTGTCGCAGACAGCTTCCCAGTGTGCTCCCAAGCAGTTTATTCACGTGTTTGTTGCCAGGGCCGGGGGACTGGCCAAGTCATGTGGTGTCACTCCCCACCACCACCCTCGCCTCGGGCTCCCCCACCTGGCCTGGACCTACCAGGACTGGCCCCAAGCCCAGGATCCCTCTACCCTCTGTGAGGGTCCTTTTCAGCTGCCCACCCCCCAATCCTGGCTCCTGTCTGTCCGCCTGCGGCCAGAGCAGCCCCTCAGGGCGCTGGCATGAGTGGGATCTGCAGCCTCCATTAGCCTCCTGAATTATGCAGGAGCCGTGGTGGGTCGAAGCACTTTAGCAGGACCAGGCTGAGGAGAGGAGCCGGAATGGGTGGGGCTCGTGGGGTGGGGGTGGGGTAGGAGGGGAGGATGGGTGCTGTGAGCCGAGGCTGCTGGGCACCAGGCCCCCAAGGCAAGCCCCTTCCTTCCTGTGGAGTTCTGATGGGTGGCAGGTTCCCAGGTTCCTGCCCGATGCAGGCATTGCACGCTTGCACATCCCAGGCCAGCAGGTCTACCGGCTGCTTCCACCCACGCCTGGCTCCAAGTGGCCTGGCACAGCCGGAGCATTAATGGGGATGCGCACTGGCAAACAGGCTCCAGCTGACCGGAGCGTGGCAGACACTCAGTGGAGCTGGGGACTGGGGCTAGAGCTCCTGGCAGAGCCAGCAGGCTCAACTGCAGGCTTGCAGAACAGGGCAGCTTGGGCTCCAGAGCACAACCCTTGGCTCCAACCAGGAGGCCACTGGGCTAGTCAGAGCTTCCTGGAAACAGCACTGACTCTGGGGTGTGGCCCCGATGTGTGGGACATCTGGTCAACACAAGCCACAAATGTCATCGAGACTCCTCCTGCTGTTCCAGGCCTGAGCTTTGTCTTCTTGTCCCCACAGGTGCCTTGCAGATTGAGAGCAGTGAGGAGTCAGACCAAGGCAAGTACGAGTGTGTGGCGACCAACTCTGCAGGCACACGCTACTCGGCCCCTGCTAACCTGTATGTGCGAGGTAAGGACCCGGCAGTGCAGGGCGTGGCCTGTCTCCGTGGAGCAGAGCTGCCCTGCTGGGCGTGGACACACGGGGTGAGGGGGCTGCCCTGGGCCTGGTCTCTCCTTCCCAGCTCTCTCTGCAGCAGTCATAGCAGCAGCACTGCCCGCCGGGCACACTTCTCCTGTTGTCACCACTACTCTGCCTTCCTTCCCTGCAGGCCCTTGGGGAAGCAGCCACTCTTGGGAGCATTTGTCTCTTGTAGGTCCTGCTGGGCCCAGAGCCCCAAGGGAGTCCAGAGCCTTCCAGGCAGACCTGTGTGTGCGCAGGCACACACATTTGTGTGTAAATGTGTGTATACCTGCCTAGTCTTCCTTGAGTGTGTCCCACCCTCCCCCTAGCAGGGCAGGCTTCCGGCCAGGTGTGCTTGCCCTCTGGCCAGGTCTGCCCGGTGCCTTCCTGGAGGGGGAGCCAGCTGTGCTCTGCCACCAACCAGGACCCTCTGCAGGGGGTCCGGCCGAGGCAGCCCTGCGGGTGAGCACCTCTTACCTTCCGAGTGTTCCTTGCTGGGACTAAATGTGTTGTGCATTTTCACAAGTCCAGGAACCCAGCAGAGGAGCTGGGGACTGTTTTGAAGTGTCCAGTCCCTACTGTGCTCACAGCCCAAGGGCCACCAAAGCTGGCCGCCTGCCGCTTCCTGTGAACAGGCTGGGTCTGCTGTGCATGGTGCCCAGGAGGAGTCCTGGAGCCCCTTCTGCCCCACCCCCACTGTCCCCTCACTGAGCCCTCCTGCACAGATGGGCGTCATTAAAAGTGAAACCGGTTCCCTTGGGGGATTTGTAAAGGAAAGTGGATGCGACTTCCTTACAGTGATGATTTCATCGTCCTAAGTGCTTAGTACAGCTTCACGGGGGTGTCCGCCTTTCTGCCCCGGCAGTACCGAGGGCCCATCCGTCCCAGCTCCTCTAGGACGGCTCTGCTGTGCTGGCCACCAGCTCTGTATCCCGAACCCTGCTTGTGAGCGGGCTGCCCACGGAGAACTCCCCCCGCCCCCAGTGCCGGCCTGCGCAACAGTCTGTGCCCACCCGCCTCCCAGCAGCACGGCTGCCCATTACCCTCCAGGCCGGAGGGAGGCCCCTGCTGGGCACCAGCTATCAGGATCTCAGCTTCAGCCTCCAGACCAGTGTGGACCATGGCCCAGGGTTTCTCAGCCTTGACACTGTTGACATTTCAGGCTGAAGAACTCTCAGTTGTGTGGGGCAGTCCTGTGCATTGTAGTAGGATGTCTAGCAGCATCCCCGGCCCACTCGATGCCAGTAATACCCCCTAGTCACAACAACCCAGCAAGCCTCCAGACCTTCCCCAGGGGCGCCTGGGGGAGTCCCCCCAGCTGAGAACTGCCCAGAATGGTCAGCATCCCCTGGGCAATCATCTCTATCCATCTCTGACTCTTGTCCACCAAGCTCAAGGCTGTGTCTCCTCAGATTTGGCTTCAGTGTCCACCTCTCATCCTGCCTCTTGTCTCCTAGACTCACAGGGTTCCCACTCCCTCTCTGAAGCCATGTGCTTGCTGCACATAATCAGACAGCAAGTGTAAAGCTCCCGGCATGGTGCCAGGCGCGCAGGAAGTGCTCAGCAGTCAGCTGCCGCCGCCGCTGCTGGCAGGACAGCACTGCTGGGAAACAGACGCATCCTCCGGTTGCTCTGACTTTGCCCACAGCTCCACCCACGGTCTAGCAGGCCCAGGCGTGCGTGGCAGACTCAACTCTCCCTCACCCTCTGACTCCCCACTCTGAGTGACTCACTCTCTCCTCCCGTCCACAGCGTCTCTCCTCCAGCTTTCAGGGCGTACTGCTGCCAGGGGCCAGGGCAAGGCCACACCCTCTGCAGAGCCCACCCTACCTGACCCTGACTTCCCCCTTCTCTGCAGGGAGCTGGCCACCAGGCCACAGCTGTCTCTGAACAGGGTGCTGTCTTCACAGCCTTTCTCCCCACAGGTGCCCAGACCAGCTCCTCACACTGTGCTACCATGCAGTGTGGGGCTTCCTCAGAGTGGCGGGGTTCTGGTGGCTTGTGTGCCTGGTGGGTTTGTGGGCTGGGTGGGCCCTGACCCCAGAGCCCAGCTCCCTGGGTCTGCCTGAGCCGTGGGGTGCGCGTGAGGCCAGGGGCCTGCCTGTGCCCCACTTCCATGCTGCCCCGCCCTGCCCCTGGCATCCCAGCACCTGCCCGGGGGACTCAGCCCCGTCCACCGTGTCCTCCATGAGTCCTGAGTCTTTTGTGAGCGGTGTGGTCTGCGCGCCCCTGCGTGCACGTGTGTGTGCTGGGGCCCGAGAGTCTTGTCTCGTTTCCGTGCTGTGTGGGCAGACGAGGGTTGGCCTGTTTTTACTCTCTCTGTGTTTCTCCTTGTCTTTTTTTTATTCCCTCTTCATCCTCATCGCACTCTGCCATCAACCCAAACTCTCATCTCTCAGATCAGCGAGAAGGTTGGTCCTTTTCACTTCTTATCCATCTACAGTTCGCCCATCGATGGGATGCTCCCGTCAGTAGGGACCAGTGGGTGCGACCAGCTCCCTAGGGCTCGCTCCAGCCAGGCCTGCCTGCCAGTTGGGCTCTGTGGTCTGTTGTTCGGGCCGGCAGGCGGGCAGGACCAGGGGTGGGTGGGCATGCCCCCCTGCACTGCATGTTTCTGCTGCTTGCGTCCCTGATAAACCTTGAGTCTGCATGTCCCCTCAGCAGGGCTCCCCTGCAGGGGTGTTCGGGCGGGCATGGTGCATGGCACACAGCTGCACTTCACCTGTGTGCCCAGGCCGGGCCAGCTGTCTGTTCCAGGTGGAGTTCAGGTGTGGCTGTGGGAACTGTGAGAGCAGAAGTGCTTTATGTGTACCTGTGGGGCCTTCCACAACCCCCAGTCACCTCGACTCCCCATCTGCCTGAGCTCAGCTGAAACCACTGAGAAGACAAAGGGGAAAGGCTCATCTAGAACGAGCTCACCCCTCAAGGTCCTGCAGCACAGGACAAAAGTCCTGCAGCGCCGGCCCTGTCCTTTCCCCCAGCAGCAGCCCTGGTCTGCCCCCTGAGCTTAGTGTCCATGGCATAGGGTGGGTGGTATCATCGTGGCCCACTGAAGGTGTCCCCTACACTCTGTCGCTTCCTTCTCTGGCCAGATCCAAATGCAAGGCTTCCCACTGGCCCTAGACCCCTCTCTCTGCCCAAGTCTCCCAGACAGCTTGCATTTCCTCAGCCCTGTGCTGGGTGCTGGGCATTCTGACCCGAGGAGCTCACCCCTTGAATAGGCAACTGCAACTTAATGAGGCCCACTTGGGAGCCAAAGATTGGAAAGGGCTTCCTGCAGACTCCACTCCGACCTGCTCTATCGCAGTGTCGCACGGGCCCTGTTCTCAGCCCCCCCGGGGTGAGCGGCTCTTTCTGTGCCCCGTGGCCTGAGTGGCCAGGGGAGGATCGCCTGTCCACAGGGCTTTGGGCTGAGCCCCAGGAAGCAGAGCTGGGCCACCTGGCCCCCTCCGTGTCATCTCTGTGGCTTGAGTTTCCTCCACTAGGGCGAGGGAGCCAGTTGGGAGGAGGGCTGTGGCCTCGGCTCAGATAACAGCCCTGAGCATCCACCCATATGCTCCCCTGAGCTGTGGGGCATTTCGGTTACACCGTTTTGCTGACCGGGCGGATCTTCCCCGGGCGTTCAGAAGCCCGCCAATAGCAGAGACGGCCTAGCCTGCAGCTGCCTCCCGCTGCGCCCCTCTTCCCCCACCCTCCTGTTCCCTCGTCCCTTCCCCACCCTCTCAGTGGTCCCACCAAAAATAAGCACGTACACAAATATTTAACGGGAAGGCAGAAATGAGTTTCTAAATATTCCGGGGGGATTTGCTGGGCTGGTAATTTGTTTGGCGCTGATAATTACATCTTACATTTTTCCAGCTTTACTTAAAACTGTGCGCCGAGCGCGCCGGCATTTAATTACTGCTCTGCGGCAGCCACAAGGTTATTTATTAAAGAGTTATTTTATCTTGATACAGTGGATACTGCCCCTGATCCCCTCCTTAATGTTGTGTTATTTTCATTCGAGAAATTTCTGCGAGTGAATGCAGATTGCGGGGCAGCCTTCCCCGGCGATTAGGCTGTCACTTCCCTGAATACCAGCGCCTCCGGGCGCCGCGCCGCCCTATTATAGGGGTTGTCGGCGCAAATAATTAGACTTAAAAGTTACAGCTCAAATATAATCCAGAAATGGCAGGGCCCTGTTTTGGAAATTGTCTGTGAAATGCCAGCACTCAGTATGCACGGGGAACGGTAAGAGACGGGCATTGTCAGAGCGTGATGTTGGACTCCTCAGTGCGTTTTTCCCGGCCCTGGTCTTCCCTTCCCTGCTGTTGCTTCTGTCAGCAGACCGAGTCCAGGGCGAGCACCGTCCCTCTCGGAGGCCTTGCGTCTGCGGCAGCGGGAGGAATGACAGTGCGGCTGCTGCCGTGGCTGTGGGAAGGGGACTGTTTCTCTGGGCAGGTCCAGGGTGTGCGGCCCCACAGGCGGCGGCAATCCCGGGGGGTTGTCCCTCGCCTCTCTCGCCTTGTAGCCAAAGCCCATAAGGGTCAAGGGCCGCCCACCCAGCAGTCTCTGGGCCGGAGGCCCTTGCCTGGTGCTATCCTTAGTCCCTGGAGTTCTCCCTTCCACCTGCCTCCAGGAGGGGGAAACAAAAAAATGAAACTGTTCTCAATGTTGGTGCACGAAGGTACCCCATTGGCTGACAGTGGGCAGAGACCTTGTTCTCTGGGGACTGTTTGGGGTAAAGTCCAGTCAGCTTTGTGCCCTGCTTAGGTTGGGATCCAGGGTCTGTTGATCAAGGACCTACTTCCTTTTCCTGGGGCTCTTTGCTCTCATGTTCAGGGACCCAGCCATTGACTGGGGCCAAGCTGGCCTCCGAGCCCTCTCACCTGACACAGGCTCCCCAGTCCCACCCAGAACCAAGAAGCTTCAGGAGCTTCTCTCGGGAGTCTCCTGGGTCTCTTTTCTTCAGCCCTGTCAGCCAGGTGCAGACAGCACGAGCTCTCCATCAGACAGGCTGCTTGTAGTACCCAGATAAACGCGGGCATGTCACCGAGAGTGCCTTAGCCAGTGCCTTATCTGTCATTGGAAGGTGGTAGCTGTGGAAACCTTCGGCACATAGTGGGTGCTCAAGAGTGGTTTCCCTTCCCCAAATGGCCATGCGCGAGGAGATGGGGCAGCCACTGGCTGAGAGCAGAGGAAAGACTTGGTCAGTTAAGGCTGCTCCCTGTCTTTCTGCTCCAGCCTGGGCTGTGCTGGACCCCACACACTTGGCAGGCCTGGGCCTGGCCTGCAAACAGACCCATCTGCACCTCTGTCCCCCTGGCCCGCCCCGCAGGCCCAGCTCCAGAGGCCAGGGGCGCCCACACCACCAGGTGTGGCTGTGCTTCTTTCTGTGCCTCCTGACCTCATCTCTGTGCCATTGGGGGCGCGTTGTGCTCACAGGGGGCTTTTTGTTGTGGCTTCCTCTTGCCAGCCATGCTCTGGGGCCCACCTGCCCTCTGCCACACAGAGCTGCTCTACCTGTGACTTGCTCTTGTCCTTCGATGTGGACTCCCAGCTTTGGGACAGATGACAGAAACCCGCTTATATCAGCCTAAGCAAAACAAGGAAACTCTTGTCTTAACAAACTGAGAAATGGAGATTGGTGTCAGGCAGAGCTGGATCCAGGTGTTTGAACAGTTTGGGTGGGCATTTGTCCTTGTCTCTTAGCTCTGCTGTCATCAGTCAGTCGACTGCTTCATTCTCAGCAGGGCCTCTTACGTTGCCCCCAGCCCCTCTAAGGTTAGCCACCGCAGTGGAGAGAGAAGGCCCGCCATTCTCATCTTTGTTGAGAAAGTCTAAAGACTGTATTGGCCAGATCTGGGTCATGTGCCTCGCGGGGCAAGAATGGGATGGCTTCCCTAGAGGAAATGACGATGCCAGTCTAGAAGGTAGAATGCTGCGTGTCCACGAGACGTGTGGAGACCCCGTCCAGCCTGGGGACACAGGGAAATGACCAAGCCCATGACACTGGTCATGCCTGGCCCACTCAGGGCACTGGTGGGGCTCCAGTTCTGTTGGAAGGCCCCAGAGTGAGGTGGTGCAGATGGAGCTGAGGCAGGGGCCAGGGAAGGTAGGTCGTGTGGTCGGGGCCGAGGAGTCACTGGGCAACCCTGGAGGAGTTCTTGACCAGGGAAGTGGAGAGAGCAGATCTGGGCCAGAGCAGCGGGCCTGGAGGACAGCAAGGCAGGAGGAGCAGTGAGGAACTCCATGCAGCTATCCAGAGAAAGATGGTGGTGGCTTGGACTTGGGTGGTACCAGTTGCCCTCGGATTTGGAGAGGAAGTGGTAGGTAGTGCGTTAGCAGGACCTGGTGGTTTGCTGGATGTCTGGTCTCTGGGCCAGAGCTCGACCCCTGTGCAGGGAGATCAGAGGTTGGACTGGGTGGTCTCTGCATTTGCTTCCGGTCCCAGTTCTGTGGTTTTAGGCTGCGCAAGCAGCAGAGCCTCAAACCTCCAGCAGAGGTGCTCCTGGTGGGGTACCATGGTCTTTTGCATGCCTGGGCTCCCCCACAGGAGTCCTCTGAGACCTGCACTCTCAGTGGTGCCTGCTGGTCACTTAGCCTTGCTGCCTGCCTTCTTCAGCCCTGTCTGCAGGGGTGCCCGTGAAGGGCACACCCCCGCCTCTGCCCACCAGCCGCATGACCTGTCTGCATGCCGAGCATGCCTGCCCTCTTCTGCATGTTCCAAATGTCCGTGCCAGGCTTGCAACTTTGGGGGGCGGGTCACCTGGCTGTACCTTGGATTGAGAAGCTCAGAGCAGCTTCTGACCTGGGGAGCCCAAGGCCGGAGGCTGTGGCCAGGCACAGCCACCCTCCCCCTTGAGATCCTTGTTCATTGGCGCAGAAAGCCATCTGCTCGGCGCCCTCATCATGTTACTGCCATCGTCATGCCCATTCTGCCCGTGGACCACATCCCTGGCCCGCCCGGACCCCTTGCCCCTGCCCAGTCCCTCCTGGGGGGCAGCCCCTCTTCTTGGGTTCCTAGGCTGCGCCTTGAGCATGGCTGAGGTCATGGCAGGAGGTCGTGCCACAGCCCTCTTCTCTTCTTGGGCCTGGAGGTGGAGGCGGCAACTCCAGAAAAGGCGGCTGTGTCATTCCCAGACTGATCCTCTGCCCAGCCCCAGCCATGCTCCAAGGACCCTCCCCCGTAGGGTGCCTGCACTTCTCTCGCAGGGGGCCCCAGCTGGCCTCTCTGCAGACCCTCGTGGGGAGAAGGTCAGGAGCAGGTAGGGGCAGGCACTGGAAGGTGACCTGGCTTGTGGCCCTGAGTAGGCCTGGCCTTTGCACTGAGTCCCTGTTTGACCTTGGGCAGATAGGACTTTTCTGGGCCTCAGTTTCCTAGGCTGTCAACTGGGAGCTTGGTTGCAGAATCTCTCGTGTTCCAGACAGTCCCTGAGTGCAGGGGCTACTTCTGTCCTGGAAGTGGGGTGGGCAGTGGTGAACCAGGGCCCAGGGACTCCGCCCCTCCTGTCTCTGAGGTGGGCTTGGCTCTGACAAGAGGGGCTTCCTGGATGAGGGGCCCCTGCCCTTCCATCCCCTTGCGTCCCCTGCCCAGCCTATGAGTGCTTCTCTCCCTCCTCCCGCAGTGCGCCGTGTGGCTCCTCGTTTCTCCATCCCTCCCACTAGCCAGGAGGTGATGCCGGGCGGCAGTGTGAACCTGACGTGCGTCGCAGTGGGCGCGCCCATGCCCTATGTGAAATGGATGATGGGCGCCGAGGAACTCACCAAGGAGGACGAGATGCCAGTTGGCCGCAATGTGCTGGAGCTCAGCAATGTCATGCGTTCTGCCAACTACACCTGTGTGGCCATCTCTTCCCTGGGTATGATTGAGGCCACGGCCCAGGTCACAGTGAAAGGTGAGTGCCACGGGCAGGCCTTGTTGCGGAGTGCTGCTGGAGTACCAGCGTGCATGGCTGCTGTTGGGCCAGGCCAGGCCCTGTCGTGCCCTCTCCTGGATGCATTGGCTCTGGGGTCCTCCTGGCCCCTGGGGGTGGAGGGAGAGCTTTCGCTCATTCGTAGTCTCAGCAGTAACAGCTAGCAGGTCCTGAGTCCTGGGGGCAGAGGCCGTGCTGGGAAGCACAGATTACATTACTCAGCCTCAGTGTCACCCTGGGAGATAGATACTCTCATCCCCCTTTTGCAAGTGAAGGAACTGTGATGCAGGGTCACACAGAAGTAATCATGGAGCCAGGACTTGAACCCTGGGGGTCTGATTCCACAGCACGCCCCTCTTACCACCACATAGCAGCAGACCCTCGAGTTTCCCAGCCTCCTGGCAAGAAGGGCATAAAACAGGATAAACAGTAACCAAAGGGCGTGTGGGCTCCCTGGGCCCTGGGACGAGCAAATGTGTGTGGCAGGCTCCCTGCCCTCCCTGCTTCCGCTCTGCCTCCTCCGATCCATCCTCCCCATTCTGCAGCTTCAGTGCTCTTTTCAGCATGCACAGCAGGATTGTCTCTCCCTTTAAAGAAAGGGAGAGAGCCTTCCAGTGTCTGCCCCTGGCTTTAGGATAGAAACCGGGATCCTCACTGTGGCCTCCTTGCCACTGCACACCCAGTGCTGATGGGCTGGGTGCCTGACCCAGCCCTGGCCATCGCTGGCTCCATCTTGCTGTCCAGGTCTTAGCTCTGTGAGACCTTCCCTGGTCAGCCCGTCTAGAGAGAGTCCTTGGCTTTCTTTCCCACCCAGCACCCTGCTTCCTGCTGCCCTTGCCCACACCAACATCATTGTCCGCACATCAGTGCTCGCCTCTCGCACTGGAGTTTAAGCTCCATGCGAGCAGGCACCTGCCTGTGCGACGTGGGCCTTGGCCCTGGCACAGTGCCTGACACTCCGTAGTTATTTGTTCAACGTTGGCTGTGGGCCTGGGACTTCTCTATCGGTAATTTCAGCCGAGCCACTGGCTCTGTGGGCCAGCGCCCCATCATTCTTTCTAAAATTCAGGGCCATTCCCTGAGGGAACACCTTCCCCCCTCCCTGGCCCCTGCTATGCATACGCACCCACCGGTGAGCCCAGGCAGGCTGCAGAAGCAGGTCTCAGCCGCAGCCTGCGTGTCTCTCATCTCCGTGGGACCCGGGCAGGCAGTGTCTCGTCTGGGTCTGATTGACAGATGAGTCACAGGGGCTGGTGTGGAGATGCAGCCAGTCCCAGAAGTGGCGTGGACAGGCACTGGATGATGCAAGGCCTCCGGGGTCAGACAGGCACCATCCCCCACTAGGTTCCCTCAGAGGTCACCGCATACTTTCCAGGCCATTCATCAAGGTGGGCTGTGGGGGTCAACCACACTCTGGTTAGGTGACCCCTGGGGTCATGACCCCAGGTAGCCCTGAGCATCTCACTTCGTCCCCAGCTTTGCCAAAGCCTCCAATTGACCTCGTGGTGACAGAGACGACCGCCACCAGCGTCACCCTGACCTGGGACTCTGGGAACTCGGAGCCTGTGTCCTACTATGGCATTCAGTACCGCGCATCGGGCACAGAGGGCCCCTTTCAGGAGGTGGACGGCGTGGCCACCACTCGCTACAGCATTGGCGGCCTCAGCCCTTTTTCAGAATACATCTTCCGTGTGCTGGCAGTGAACAGCATCGGGCGAGGGCCGCCCAGTGAGGCGGTGCGGGCACGCACGGGGGAGCAGGCGCCCTCGAGCCCCCCACGCCGTGTGCAGGCACGCATGCTGAGCGCCAGCACCATGCTGGTGCAGTGGGAGCCGCCCGAGGAGCCCAATGGCCTGGTGCGGGGCTACCGCGTCTACTATTCCCCCGACTCCCGGCGCCCCCTGAGCGCCTGGCACAAGCACAACACAGACGCGGGGCTCCTCACCACCGTGGGCAGCCTGCTGCCTGGCATCACCTACAGCCTGCGCGTGCTGGCCTTCACCGCCGTGGGCGATGGGCCCCCCAGCCCCGCCATCCAGGTCAAGACGCAGCAGGGAGGTAGGTGTGGGCAGCACACTGGCCGGATGGCCACAGCAGAGCTGGGGGGCGGGGACCCAGCCGTGACGGCACCTCCTTCCTCAGGCTGTGCACGCAGGGGTTCGGGAAGGAGGAGGGCCCGTATTCCTCATGTGTGCAGTCGCTCGGAATGCAGGCTAAGGGTGTTGGGGTGAAGATCTGCCCTCCCCTGCCTTTTTCCCCTGGGTGCCCCCACCCTTGGGGGCATCGGTGAGGCTGACCACGCCCGGCCTGGGGTGTTGCAGTGCCTGCCCAGCCCGCGGACTTCCAGGCCGAGGCGGAGTCCGACACCCGGATTCAGCTCTCCTGGCTGCTGCCCCCTCAGGAGCGGATCGTCATGTACGAGCTGGTATACTGGGCCGCGGAGGACGAAGGCCAGCAGGTGAGCGCTCGGCGAGGACAGGAGGGGGAGGAGGGCCTCTCCTGGTCCCTCAGGGTCTGTGCTGGGCCTACCCAGGTAGGCCTGGCTAGATTTCTGTAGCCCCTGGGGTACTCCTGGGGACTCTGTGGCTCGTGCAGCCTTTATGGCTCCTAGTCTTTGTGACCCCGTGCTGGGTGCAGAGTGACTAGGTCTGTCCTTGAGTCCCCCAGGTTCTGTCGCTCACGTGGCACTGGCCGAGCCCTAGAGTTCCCCTGGGGTTGTGTGTCCCTCGTGTGGGCCCGGTGTCCAGCGACACAGAGGCAGCCCTGGAGCCACGGTGGCTCCAGAGGGGTCAGCTGTACCTCATGCTGGGGAACAGCTTCTGAATGACCTTGGTTTGAGGTCAGAGCAGTCAGTGAGTGCTCCCTGCTCTTCCAGCACAAGGTGACCTTCGATCCTGCCTCCTCCTACACCCTGGAGGACTTGAAGCCTGACACGCTGTACCGCTTCCAGCTGGCCGCCCGCTCTGAGATGGGGGTGGGCGTCTTCACCCCTACCATTGAGGCCCGCACAGCACAGTCCAGTAAGTGTCTTCGGAAATGACTGCGTGCCACTGCTGGGCTGGGACACGCACACACACACACCCCCTCCCCCACGCCCGGGCAGGCGGCCAGGTCCGCTGGGCCCCGCACTAGACTCTGGCCTGGGCTCCAGGTCTGGACCCGTAGAGAGGGACAGGTAAGTGCCCTCTAGTCCGCGGCCAGGCAGCTATTGCACTCACTGCTCCCTGCCTGACTTCTGTCCCCTCCACGCCCCCTCACCCCACCCAGGTAAGTTCTGTGTCTGTGACTCATCTCCTCCCTGCACCCGCCTCTGTGCTGGTCGCGCCAGCTGACTAGACCGTCCTCAGTGATGGGACCCCCACACTCACTGAGCCCCAGACCTGCTTTGGCAGCTGTCGCCCTCCCCATACTCCTGCATCTCATCTCCCCATCGCCCGTGTCCCCTCCCTCGCACCCCGCACCATGAGTGTGTGTGAGCCATGCAGTCACACCAAGCCGAGTGCCCACAGAGCACACCTGTCAGAGTGAGACCATGTGACTGCGTGTGTCCATGTGCCTGCACTGGGATCCTGTGGCCATCTGTGTGTGGGGCTGTCCACGAGGCCGTTTGTGTGATAACTTGTGTATTGCATGCTGCACGTGTGCGACTGGTGCTGTGAGCACGTGTCACCACGTCCAACCACCTGGCCGTGCGGCTCCTGCAGGTGTGGGTCAGTGAGTCTCTGCGTCCCTACCATGGGGTCTGTGAAACTTTTCTTATTTTTTAAGGTCTTATTATTTTTAAAGAGAGGGGGAGGGAGGGAGAAAGAGGAGAGAAACATCAATGTGTGGTTGCCTCTCGTATGCCCCTCACTGGGAACCTGGCCTACGACCCAAGCATGTGCCCTGAGTGGGAATTGAACCAGCGACCCTTTGGTTCGCAGGCTGGTGCTCAGTCCACTGAGCCACACCAGCCAGGACTCAGTCTGTTAAGGCCTCCTTAGGATTGGGACTCAGCAAGTGTGTCTTTGGGCATCTGACCCATGATTCTGTCTGTGGGTCTCTGCAGCTCTCGCTGTCTGGTCACTCGGCCACCGCAGACCACTGTTCGTGAGCTCTATGTGATGAGAGTGCTGGGGCTGTGCCGCAGGATGGGGTCATGGCGTCGAGACAGGAAGCACGTGTGACGGCCTTAAAGCATGGCAGCATCCATGAGGTGGCCCGTGCCACAGTGCCACGAGAGTGTGCCAGTGATGTCAGGAAACAATGTGTGACCTCGTGTTCATGAATTCATTCCACCTGCAGCTCTTGCACACCTGCTGGGCGCCAGGGCTTGTGCACACTGCAGGGCTGGCAGCACGACCCTGACACGGCCTTTGCCCACGGGAGTCCTAGTCTAGGGGGCACACAGCCCTTGAACCTGCAATTATCCAAATGACCTTTTAATTACATTTGTATAAAGTGCTGTGGAGGAGACAGACAGTGGAGAGATGGCAGGATGAGAACCCCATCTGGTCTGAGGGGTCAGGAGGGGCTTCCCAGTGTGACACAGAGGCTTCAGGGAGGGGGTCAGCAGGTGCCCAGGCCCTGAAGGAGGAAGGTGCTTGGTTGTGGCCAGGGGCAAGCGACGGGCCCATGTGGCTGGAGCAGCCACCTGACCTCGGGGAAAGGTGGGAGGGCCGACGCTCCGGCGTGGGAAGGCCGGGGTGAGGAGGCTGTGCGGTGGTCTAGGCAAAAGACAGCCACTCAGGTGAGACAGCGGTGGTGGCTGTGGGAGCTCTCCGGGGTGCAAACGGATGAGGTGTGGGGGCTGAGAGAGAAACGTCGGGTGGACCCTGTGTTTCTGACGCGTAGACCTAGGAGAAGGGTGGTGGCTCTTCTGAGGGTAGGAGATAGGACAGAAGCAGGACCCAAGCTCAGGTGCTCTTCTCCACCTGCATGGTGATGCTGGACAGGCCTCGGAAGCCAGGGTCTGCACTGAGATGAGGGACCCTGAGGAGGATGGAGGATGGCTGGAGACAGGAGGAGGTCCCAGAGAGTGGTTGGAGTGGGGTGTGTTGGAGGGTGAGAAGAGAGTTTCGAGAAGTAGACCAGGTGTTGCTGCCGAGAGGTCAGGGGAACACGCAGTGTCTGCTGGAGTTCAGAATGTGGAGGAATGAATGGGCCTGGACAAGAGTTTGGGGGACATGAGGACCGATGCAAGGCATGATGGGAGGCAAGGAAGTAGGGACAGAAAGCTCAGATGTCGGCTGTGTAGTTGGGAGAGAGGAGATGGCGTCCTGCCATCACATGGGCCTCCACGCAGAGGCCCGGGGTTTGTCTCTTCAAGTGGGAAAATCTTGAGCATACTTCAGTGCTATAAAGAAGGAGCCAATAGGATGACGTAGAAAATATGGGAAAGAAGGGCCATGGGAGGCTCAGGAAGGGGAAAGGGGCCGAGCATGGGTGATGGCAGTGACTGGCCTGGAGCAGGGGAGTACAGCCCCCCTTCTGGGCGGCGGGGAGGTGAGAATCGGTGCTAATGCAGGTCCGTGGGTGAGTTTGGTAGCAAGAGATGGAGGGAGCTGCTTTTGGGAAGTTTTGGTTTTCTCTGCAAAGCAGGAGACAGGTCACGTGCTAAGGAAGGGAGGCGATGGGAGCTGGGGGTTCGAGAAACCTGAAGGAGGCTGGACTCACCTGTCACGTGGCAGAGCGAGGTGGGCAGAAAGACGGGCAGGCAGTGTGGCGGCCCGTGAGCCTCAGGGCATGTGTTCGGAGGGAGCCGCCCTGACTGAGCAGGCAGCTTCTTCAACCTCCCCGGTGCCGCCTTGGAGAAGGTGGAGAGGTGGATTCATGTGGAGCTCAGAGCAGGCCAGGCAGGAGTGGGATAAGGTGAGGGGGTTGGGGCTAGTGGTAAGGTGGAGGGCTTCAGTGTCTAGTGGGGGTGGTAAGGGTGGCAGGTCAAGGGTCGGAGGCCTCTAGGGGGTGAAGAGCAGGCACCATGCTGGGGCCTGGAGCACAGCTGGGCTGGGACAGGAGGTGAGGTCCACGAGGGGCCGTTGGAGGCCGTGGTCTGGGAAGTAGGGCTGTGTCCGGTAGTGGCGTGGTCCAGGGTCTGAGCACAGCAGTGCTGGGAAGGAGAAAGGCTAGGCAATGGGGGACTCTGGGGCCAGTGGGCTGAGGGGGCCACTGAAGTCACCTGGGCAGGGGCTGGTGGCAGAACTTGATGTGGCAAGGAGGCCCATGCAATGACAGCAGTGTCCTGGGTGGGAAGAGGGTCCGGAAGTGTCCCTGGGCATGAGGAAAGCGCAGACCCACCCCATAACCCCAGGGACCCAGTGAGTGAGAGCACCTGCAGCAGGTACTTCTCCAAACTACCCCAGGGGCCATCGGCCCCTTCACGTCTGGCCTCCAGCCTCTGTGGTCACCTGTGGCTCGGGCAGACACCTGGTCCAGGCAGGCACAGGCCGGGGCATCCCTCTGCTGGCACAGCCTGTGGGGCCGCTTGTCCTCAGAAGACAAGAGCTGTGGGGATAGCGTCTGGAGAGGTTCTCTGTATGTGGCTGTGTGTGCGGGGTGTGGGAGTGGGGTGGCATGGCCTGTCCTCGTGTGTGTGTGATGCCGTGTGTGTCTGGGGTGAGACAGCATATGTGTGAGGCACTGTGTTAGAGCCCCATATGTGTGTGGGAGACACCGTGTGTTTGTGTGAGAGAGAGCGCGCGTGCGTGGGCTCACACACGCCTGTGGTCCAGAGGCAGCCGGGCTGTCTGGCAGCAGTGGCTGCAGCCAGCCTGGGGGCCCTGGGATGGCCGTGGCGCACTTGGGGAATGACCTGCCCGGGTGAGTTCCCCTCTGTGACTCGTCGCCGTGCCTGTGAACACCCCCTCCATCTGCCTGCTTCCCCCTCCCCCGTTTGTCTTCCCCAGCCCCTTCTGCCCCTCCCCAGAAGGTGACCTGTGTGAGCACGGGCTCCACCACAGTCCGGGTAAGTTGGGTCCCACCGCCGGCCGACAGCCAAAACGGCATTATCACCCAGTACTCGGTGGCCTACGAGGCGGTGGACGGCGAGGACCGCCGGCGGCAGGTGGTGAACGGCATCAGCCGCGAGCACTCCAGCTGGGACCTGGTGGGCCTGGAGAAGTGGACCGAGTACCGGGTGTGGGTGCGGGCGCACACGGACGTGGGCCCCGGCCCCGAGAGCAGCCCGGTGCTGGTGCGCACCAACGAGGACGGTAGGCAGCGGCGCCCACGGGGACGGGCAGGGAGGGGAGGCCCCCCGCCTGGACACCGCCCGCCTTGCAGCCCAGGGCCTTTGTCTCCCACAAGCCCAGGAGGAGTGCTCTTCCTGGTGCAGGCCGAATGGCTGAGGCTGGGGAGATGTAGCTTATGGGGTAGCCCACGCCCAAATCCCAGCCTTTGGGGCTCTTTCCAAGGCAGCCAGAGCCTTAAAAAACTAAAGTGGAAGCAGCCCCCACTAAGATTTGAGGGGTCAGAACCGGGAAGATAGGCACAAGAGACACTCAAAACAGAATCAGCAAGCCTCTACCTGGGCTGGACAGAATGGGGCCCGGGAGCAGACAGGGCAGGCAGTACAGACTGGGGATGTTGGCGGCCTCTCTGCTCCCCGCCAAGTGAGGTAGCCCTGAGCCAGGGAGCTGGCAGGTCCGGGGCTCTCCCTGCTCTCAGCAGAGGGAACCCTCCAAGTTCCTCTCTGGGGACAGGAGGTCTAAGGCAGCTGTATCACAGCCTCTCCTGGGGTAGTGGGTCACCAAGGCAAGGCCCTGGTGTGGGCTGTGCCCACTGAGCCGGACCCATTCCACCAAGCCTGACTTCCTTGTCTCCCTGGTCCCCAGTGCCCAGTGGGCCACCGCGGAAGGTGGAGGTGGAGCCACTGAACTCCACCGCCGTGCACGTCTCCTGGAAGCTGCCCCTCCCCAGCAAGCAGCACGGCCAGATCCGTGGCTACCAGGTCACTTATGTGCGGCTAGAGAACGGTGAGCCCCGTGGCCCACCCGTCATCCAGGATGTCATGCTGGCCGAGGCCCAGGTATGCCCCAGGAGATGGTGGGGTGGGAAGGTGGTGGCAGCCATACACTTGCGTCCTCTTTGGAGCCCAGGTTTGCCTCCCTCCACTGTCCGCTCTCAGAGGGACTGACACCGAGACCTCCTGCTGTGTCAGGCACGGGAGGCCCTGACCAAGTTAGGGCTAGGGCCCCACGACAGGCCCTGCCAGCCCCATCTCTCTGTCCTGGTGACAGTGCCAGCCTGGTGGTCAGCTCTGCAGCTCAGCCACCAGCACATACTAAGGGGCTCTGTCTCCACAGGCCCCAGTTGTCACCCCACTCAGACTTCAGTCCCCTTAAGTCCTTCTTGGTGGTTGGGAAGGAGCACCTTTGCTGTCCCGTTAGGCTGTGCTTTCAAGATGTGCCTGCCTCCTGGACAGTGCTGAGCTGGCCAGCTGCTCCTCCCACGGCCAGGCGCCAGGAAAGCTCTTCTCGGCAGTCAGTCTTCTCCCCCAACTTGGCCCTTGGCCATTGCCGAGTTCTGTGAATGGCCAGTCTGGGGCGATGGTCTCTGCCCAGCCCCGAGGAGAGTGGCTTAGCCCCTTGTGATTACCCTCCAGAGCTGGGCCTGCCAGCCAGCCTCATATCCCACCCTGTGCTCCGTCCTGGGGGTTGGTGACTGCCCGTGAGCTTGGGGCGAGGTCCCTGGGGTATCCTCAGCACTGGGTTGCTGTCTGCATGGAGAACCTGGGGTCCTAGGAGCTGATGTGAGTGGTCCAGAATTTCTCAGTATAGGTAGGTGGTTGAGCTTGGACAAGAAGCTAAGTCTCTGGGTTTCTGGGAAGAAGGCTGTAATTGCCATTGCAAGTTGTCTCCCAAAATCTTCAGCTGAAGAGTCCTAATGCCCAGTGTGATGGGCTCTCAGGGTCTGCCCATCTAGAATCAGGACCTCCGGGGAGCCACAGGAGGCAGCGCTGAGCTACCCTGAGGGAAGGAGCCTAGACTTGCCCCAGGACCACACACCCTCCCCTGCTTGGGCGGGGATCGGAGGTACAGGCACAGAACCTGTGCTGTGCTTACCAGTGGGCTCCCCCACACAGACGGGGCCCTCGTGCCTCCTGCTGGGCCCAGCCCACTGAACAAAATTCCTTTTTGCAACAAGGGCGCCCTCTCCCCACTCAGTCTGCGGGTGCTGAGAGAACAAGGGGGTGAGGAGGCGGGCGTCTACCCGCCTGCATTCCTGGGGCAGGTTGAGGGCTCCTCCTGGAGCCTCAGCTGACACACCCACCCAGAAACATTCCGGGAATGGGCTCCCTCCGGCCCCTCCCCTCCGAGGGGCTGGCAGCTCAGCTGTCGCCCGTGGGGTTCTGGAGAAGCCACTTTGGGTGCCCCCTTCTGGTCCCAAGAGGTTCGAAGGAAGCTGAGCTGTAGGAGGAGAGAGACTGCCCTCCGCGCCTCCAGCACCCCGTGACCTGGAGGCCGGCTGTGGGAGCTAAACATGAGCTCAGGCCCCAGGGAAGCCAACAGAAAACGAAGGGCTGTCCTTGAGGCCCCCGTGGGACTGGGTCATTCTGCTCTCAGCCAGTAGCAGAGCAGATGGGGCCTGGTCCCCAGCCTGGCCACAGGGTCCAACTGTCCCCTGAATGGTCTATCAAGGACACCACAGCCTGTCCGTCACCCAGCAGCACCATCTGCTAGGCCCAGGGCCCCGCTCCGTTCTGAAAGATCCATGGGGTACGTGCCCCCCATGGGTGTGCAGCCAGACCCACCTCCTTTCATTACGTCCCCGGGTTTGTCCCTGTTTCTCCTGGTCTCCGACTGTTCCTCCCTGTGTCCTTGTGCCCCTTTCTCATGGTCTCTATCTTTCTCCTTGTTTCCATCTCTCTCGCTCTGTTTTTGTCTCATTACCTTTTCTCTCCTCTTTTCTGACCCCTTCCCTCCCTCCCTCCCTCTCTCTCTCTCTCTCTCTCTCTCTCTCTCTCTCCCTCCCCCCTCTCTCCCCGCCTCACTCTCTCTCTCTCCATTCCACTCCACCTGCTTTGTCTCTCCCTTCTTCTCTCACTCTGCCTCCAGTGCAGGAGAGGTACCCTGTGAGGCCCTCCTGACTGGGCCTGGCTTGCACAGTGCGGGTCTCCCACCAGGCAAGGGACCTAGGGCAGAGGCGGGCCCAGCCACAAACTGGAAAGTGGCCATGGCCAGTAGGGGCCTGTTAACGACCTCCCCTCCATACCCTTGCCGCTCTCCTTGCAAAGCCTTTCAACCAGAGCAGGAGGAACTGGGCACAGTGGACAGAGGCAAAGCAGCACTCTGAGGGTGGTTGGGCTGAAGGACCCCATGCACCTCTGTCTTGGAGATGTCCTGGACCATCTCTCCATGCTGTGCTCTACACCTGCCGGTCCCCGGCCCTCCAGGGACATAGGGCCACAGAATGGAGACATCACTTCCTCCACCTGTCCAGCTAATACGTCTCCACGCCCCATGGCCTAGAGAAGAACGCACTGAGAAATAGCATTGCCAGCCCTGGCACATGCCTTCCTACCATGACGAGGTCTCAGGCACCCCCAGGAAGGAGCAGGGTCTGAGTGCTTCCCCTGTGCCCGTAGAGCAGGGCCCAGGCTCCGAGTTGGCTGTTCACAGCTCTGTCATCTTGCTGTCCAGCCTGCCCCAGGCCCCCACCCCCAACCGGGATGCAGGCCTCACTGCCCCGGGACGCTGGTTCTGCCTCTGACGGCTGTATAGTCTGTCATCCCCGCTGGGGTCGCGGCATGGCAACAACGCTTAGGCCGGGACTGCCCCAGGCAAACCGGGTTGTGCAGTCCCCCTCCCTGCTCGTCCCGTGGTGTGTTCCCTCCCCTCTGCCTGCCTGGTCCTGCCCACCCCGTGTCTGCCGGCCTGGCCCCCAAAGCACCTTCAGGTGGCGCACTCTGATCCCTCAGTGGCCTGGAGCCCTCCCCTCCTCAGCCCTGCTGCAGACAAATGGGCTCGTGAGGCAGGGGCTGGGGTCAAACCAGGGGAGTGGTTTTGGGTTGCCACCTCGTGGGCACTTCCCAGGCCCTCGTCCTCCGTCTGTGCTCCGTGGGCCAGGCGCTCTCCAGCCTGAGTCTTTCACATCCTGTCTCCCTTTCTCTCCCTCTCCGCGGTCAGTGGCAGCCAGAGGAATCCGAGGACTATGTAAGTAACAGGTGTGCGCGTGCGGGCAAGACCTGGGTCAAGCTGGGCTCGTGGGCCCCTCCCCTTCCCCTGCCTTTCCTCCCAGCCTGAGCTGCCAAGATCCACGGGGCACCAGCCGCATCTGGAGAAAATAGGCGTTTAGATGGGAGTGCCGAGCTGAGCAGCGATTGGCATTTCCTCTAATCCTCACTTCTTGCCCGTTGAGCAGCAATTTCAGGCCAATGTTCGTGATTAACCAGGGCCTGGCCCCGGCTCTGGCCAGACAGGGATGGAGTTAAATCCAATCCTGATTGTTAGGCCTTATTGATTCCTGGAATGAAAAATCACCTGCCCTGCGCCCAGGCTGGGGGGTCATTTGGAGAGCTGGGTTTGGGCATTGGTGCATTCTGGAGTCCCAGCCCTGGGACCCCCTCCAGCTGGGGCAGGAGGGGGCCTGTGAGGGGTTGGTGGTGGCTGCAGTGGCCCACCCAAGGCCGAGCTGGAGGGACACCAGGGCTGGCGGTAACAGCTCTGTTCCCACTGCACAGTGGTCTCTCCTTTCTTCCCACTCTTCCCTCGGTGTGATGTTGTCTGGCCTCCCATGGTGTCTCAGCATGTCCGGAAACGACGCCTTGGCTGGACATGGGCATATGGGCAGGGCCTGCCAAGGCCAGGGGACTTTTCAGGCATGACTGGGCGGATGGGGAAGTGCGTTCCCAGGGCGGGATTCCCTGTCCTTGTCTCTCCTCCCTGTCTCAGGAGGTATCGCAGGGCACAAGGTATTCACGGAGCTAGTGCCTCGATGGGGTCAGGTGGGGTTCTGACTTGATCCTCGGGGTAGCACTTGGGACCATCCCTCTGCCTTGCTCTGGGTGTGCATGGGGATGGGTTCGTACCTGCAGGTGGCCTTCCACCTGCTTATTCAAGAAGGGCTGTGGGCTACAGAATGTGTGTGCCAAGAGCCATGTAAGGCATTTCATGTGCATGTGTGTGTGAGGCCCTGGCCCTGTGTGTCACGTGTGCACAGACCTCACGAGGTGTTGCTCACTGCACAGTGGAGGGAAGGAACAGTGTGGCCTTTGTTCTTGTCTGGAAGGAAGAACGAGCTGTCTGCCCCAGGCGTGCGGCTCCTGGGACCAGCGGGGTCCTCCTGGGCACACGTCTTACCTGCCTGACCTCTGGCCCTGTGTGCTCCGGGGACGCCCCACTGGCTGGGACCCTGAGGCGATTGCCCGGTCTGGCCTCTCCTTGCCATCCTGTGATAGGAATGGGCTCCTACCTCCCCCTTAGGAAACCACCATCAGCGGCCTGACCCCGGAGACCACCTACTCCGTCACTGTCGCCGCCTACACCACCAAAGGAGACGGTGCCCGGAGCAAGCCCAAGATTGTCACGACGACGGGGGCAGGTGAGCCAGGGGTGCGGACAGAGCCGGCGGGGGGCAGGGAGGAGGGCCGTGCCAGAGCCCAGTGCGTGGTTGTTCAGTCCCAGGCCGGCCCACCATGATGGTCAGCGCCACCGCCATGAACACCGCCCTGCTCCAGTGGCACCCCCCCAAGGAGCTGCCCGGCGAGCTGCTGGGCTACCGGCTGCAGTACCACCGGGCCGACGAGGCGAGGCCCAACACCATAGATTTTGGCAAGGATGACCAGCACTTTACCGTCACCGGCCTGCACAAGGGGGCCACCTACATCTTCCGGCTTGCCGCCAAAAACCGGGCCGGCCTAGGAGAGGAGTTCAGGAAGGAGATCACGACCCCGGAGGGGGTACCCAGCGGCTTCCCACAAAACCTGAACGTGGTGGGGCTGACTACCTCCACCGCGGAGCTGACCTGGGACCCCCCGGTGCTGGCGGAGCGCAACGGGCGCATCACCAACTACACGGTGGCCTACCGTGACATCAACAGCCAGCAGGAGCTGCGGGACACCACTGCCGACACCCGCCTGACTCTCTCCGGCCTCAAGCCGGACACCACTTACGACATCAAGGTCCGCGCGTGGACCAGCAAAGGCGCTGGCCCGCTCAGCCCCAGCATCCAGTCCCGGACCATGCCCGTGGATCAAGGTGTGTGCCGCGGCCACGTGGCTGCGCCTGGGGAACTGCTGCTCCCACTGACTTCTGGCCACTGATCCACCAGCCTCTGCTCTGTGACCCTCCGGTCTCTCGTGACCATGACCACTAACCTCTAGCGAACGGGCGCCATGTTCTCGGTGTGTGGCTGCCCGACCTCTGCTGTCTTGACCTACTGACCTCTGCTGTGTGACTTTCTGATCTCTTGTGACCTTGACCCACTGAGCTTTTTTGACTATATCACCATTCTTGGGTATGTGACACTGATCTCTTGGGGCCATGACCCACCAGCCTCTTACTGAGCGTGCTCCACTGCTCTGGTGCTTGGCCATGTGCGTCTCATGGCCAGGCCCACTCACCTGTGGCCGCTCTGCCCAGGCACCTGTGAGCCCCAGCTTTAAAGCACGCACTTGTGGAGGTCATGGGTGCTGTGGCATCTGCTGACAGTGTCCTCACTGTGCAGAAGAGCTGGGGCTGGGAGCTGAACTGTGTGATTTGAAGCCGGCTGGGAGTGGGGTGCCCAGTTCTCTGCAGCCACTCCTGGCCCCGGCACCCCAACAAGTGTCTCTCTTCTAGTGGGGAGCCTTTCAGGCCCGCTCACCCACCCACACAGCCAGCACTGACTCCCTCCTTATATTCCACAGTGTTTGCCAAAAACTTCCGTGTGGCGGCTGCCATGAAGACGTCTGTGCTGCTCAGCTGGGAGGTTCCCGACTCCTACAAGTCGGCTGTGCCCTTCAAGGTGGGTGATGGCCACGGCCAGCCCAGCCCTCGTGCGGGACTGCCGCAGCCATGTCCCATTGTGTGCGTTTGTGACTCGGGGTCCAGTCAGGCGTGCGTGTGTGAGCTCTGCCCCGCAGGCTCACGACGGGGCACCTCACACAATGTGCCATCCGCCCCTCTCCCCACAGATCCTATACAACGGGCAGAGTGTGGAGGTGGATGGGCACTCCATGCGGAAGCTGATCGCGGACCTGCAGCCGGACACACAGTACTCGTTCGTGCTGATGAACCGGGGCAGCAGCGCCGGGGGCCTGCAGCACCTCGTGTCCATCCGCACGGCCCCCGACCTCCTGCCCCACCAGCCGCGGCCCGCCTCTGCCTACATGGAGGACGGCCGCTTCACCCTTTCCATGCCCCACGTGCAGGACCCCTCGCTCATCAGGTGGGCAGGCGAGGCCGTGGGGGTAGGGCAGGGCTAGCGACACGAGCACAGGCAGTGACAGTCCTGTCTCCTGCTCTGCCCGCCCAGGTGGTTCTACATCGTGGTGGTGCCCATTGACCGCGTGGGTGGGAGCATGCTGACGCCGCGGTGGAGCACGCCGGAGGAGCTGGAGCTGGACGAGGTGCAGGGACGGGCCGGGGCAGCGCTCACGACAGCCCCATGGCAGCAGCTGGCTGTAGCCCCCAGGGCTCCCCCAAACTGGAATCACTCTGGCCACTTTTACTGGCAGCCAGGCCAGTCCTAGAGGAGGGGGACTCCCTGGGAGGGTTTGCTGAGGATCCCTGGGATGGGAAAAAATAGAGACATCTCTGAGGGTCTGGAAAACTGCGAGTTCTATAGACTTGAGAGGCTCCTGAAGGTCCAAAGTCCTCAGCAGGACTAGAGAGGAGCCCCCAGGATGTTTGGAGCCCCCATCCTCTTCTGAGTGGTGTGGAACCTGTCTGTTCTGGTGAGGCAGAGAGGCAGGTTACCAGAGGGCGTCATCTTACTGGGCAGGCGGGAAGGAGGGGCATTGCTGTGCCTGGTGTCCGGCATCTCTCTGCGAGGAACGCGGGCAGGGCCGGGCTCGAGCCCCTTACCCAGAAGGTGAGCCCGGCCTCAGCCCAGGACACGTGCTCTAGGGCCCGGTGTGACCCTGCGCTCTGCTCCGTCAGCTCCTGGAGGCCATCGAGCAGGGCGGCAGGGAGCAGCGCCGGCGCCGGCGGCAGACAGAGCGGCTGAAGCCTTACGTGGCCGCTCAGGTGGACGTGCTCCCCGAAACCTTCACCCTGGGGGACAAGAAGAGCTACCGGGGCTTCTATAACCGGCCCCTGTCCCCGGACCTGAGCTACCAGTGCTTTGTGCTTGCCTCCCTGAAGGAATCCGTAGACCAGGTCTGCCTGAGCCCCCTGGGCCCTCAGCACCCCGAGACCCCAGGCCTGCCCCAAGACCAGGCCAGGCTCCAGCACCCTGAGATCCCAGGCCTGGGGCAGCCCCAGAGGCCCCAGGTCTACCCAAGGGATCTCAAGACACCAGCCCCTAGGAACGAGAGAGTCAGGCATAAGCTGTCCTAGGGACCCGCTCAGCTGATCGGGCTGTTGGGTGTGGGAGACCAGTCCCAGCCAGCCAGCCAGCACAGCCCAGCCCCTGAGTCCGTTCTCTGGGTTGGGAGGGGACGGGGTGGGGGGAACTCTCACGCTGAGCTCACTGCCTGTGCCGATCCTCAGCCACAGAAGCGTTATGCCGCCAGCCCCTACTCCGATGAGATTGTGGTCCAGGTGGTGCCAGCGCAGCAGCAGGAGGAGCCTGAGATGCTGTGGGTGACAGGCCCTGTCCTGGCGGTCATCCTCATCATCCTCATTGTCATCGCCATCCTCCTGTTCAAGAGGTGAGCGCTGCACTCAGGACTCCAGGGGGCGGCCACCTGCCCCTGGGCTCTCATCCAGGCCCGGAGCAGCCACACCGGCCTGCACCCCGGCCCGGGCTCAGTGGGGAGCCAGGAAGAGCAGAAGCTGTGTGTGTGCACATGGGTGTGTTGCCTGCGTGTGATAGGAAGCCTCGGCCTCACAGAGGGCTGGCTCCCGTGCATCCGTGGGCGTGTCTGTCCGTTGGTCTCTGTTTTGGTGGCTGTGAGTATGTCTGTCTCTCAGCTTCAAGACACTGCCCTCTCCTGGTCTCCTACCTTCAGCACCTCCTGTGCTGCCACTCTGAGATGACTCCTTGGCCTGGGAGGCCCAGGCCCACGTGCCCACAGATGTTTACTTGGCAGGCATTTATCGAGTGCTTGCTGTGACCACGGCGTTCTCAGCTGTCCTGTACTCAGTGCATCTTGAACCTTCTCCCAAACCCTCCTCCCATCCCCCCAATTACTAGCCAAACCCGGGTGTCACCCTCCACTCTCCTCTTCCTCTGGCTCCACTGCCTCCTGTGAGTCCTCTCCTGAATGCTTACGGGTCTGTTCCTCCTCCTGTCCCGGTGGGCTCCCCGCAAGGTGATGCACGAGCAGGCAGCTGGAGACACAGCACACCTCAGTCTTTTCTCTCTCAGGTAGTTGCAGCCACCTGCTCTCGGAGTCTCCTTTTTCTATCCATTAACCTTGCAACCTGGAAGCTGTTACCAGAGACTTAACTGTGTCACCTCAGTTTGAATGTCTTTAGTGGCTCCCATGATCAACCCTGACCCCTGTCACCTGACAGTCAAACACCTCTCTAGTTTGGCCCCTGCCACCACTCCTGACATTGTCACACTGGATTAATGCAGTTGCCCTGCCAGCTCCAACTGCGTCCCCCTCCCCTTTGCAGCTGTCCTGCTCCCTGCCCACCTGGCAACTGCTGTCTCATCCTTCAAGGCTCCCCTCCAGGCCTGTGAGGCTCTTGTGGGCCCCCACCTCTTCCCTACACTGGCCCCATCTGGCCCCATCTGGCCCAGCCTCATTGGGCATGTCGCTGGGCCTGCATTTCCAGTGCCCGGCACGAGGGTGAGCCCACGAGACGTATCAGTGAACGATTGTCAGTGAGCGCGTGTTGGGCAGTGTGTCTGAACATGTCCCCATATATTCGATCCTGTGCTCTGTGCCCCATCTCTCCCCTGTCCCTCCTCTCTGACATGGACTCAGTGCCTCCTTCCTATGGAGTTGGCTCCTTCCTTCCTTCCAGGGTGCATAGGAAGGATGGGGCCAGGGCACGGAGACCTGTGGGAGGGGACCCGAGGATCGTTCCCCTCACCCACTCATCCTCCTTTCCACTCCCGTCTGGGTCTTGGTGTCCATCAGGAGAGGCAGCCCCCTCCCTGTGCATGCCAAGTAGGTGCCGTCCACAGGCCCCACGGGGCCCCCCCGTGTCACGAGAGACCCTGAGTTCTCGACAGAAACAGTGACCATTCTTTCTTCTGTCCTTGCCTATCTCTCGGGACCTAGTAAACAAGAAAGGTAGGAGTCATTCCTTCTCTCTTCACACACCTTCCCCGTCACTTCTTACCCCTCTGCACATTTTGGGCCCAGCAGGGAGGGGCGGTGCTTTGACTGGAAGCCTCCTGGCCTGTGGCTGTCCCATCAGCTCAGCAGGCCCTGGGGTAGGCTCTGACCCTCTCTCCACTAGCACCCTGCACAAGGAATGCCCTTTCTCCAGGGCGCAGGCATAGCACCGACTTCCGATGCCCCCCTGCGTGCGCAGACTGGCTCTGAGCTCTCCGGAGCCTTCACCAGGCTCCCTGTTCTGAGTCACCCGAGTGCTATAGGAGACAGAGTCTTGCATGTGTGCAGAGAGCGCTGCCTGTAGGGCAGTGGGGAAGTGTGTGCACTACGCACTCGTGCAAACTCACACAGGTCTTCTCTCCCTCGAGTGCCCACTACCCCCCACCCCCGCATAACCATCTCTGCTGAGCAGCAGCAGCCCCTGGGTGCTTGTCAGCAGCTAGAGCCATAGTCTGTCTCTGACCATGTCCTTGTATTCAGGGGAGCTGAGGCCATCAAGGGAGGACTCTGCCTGGCTAGGGTGACGCTTTCCCTGCCCTGTCCCTGCCGCCCTGGGCATCTACCCTAATACCAAGAGTCAGACAGCTGGGGCCTGACGCTCTGTGATGTTTGCGTATCTTACGTGTCATCTGCATGTTTATTCCTGGTGGCTCCTGCTGTCTCAGCTGTGACTGCCTTGGGGCCAGTAGCCACTGCCCAGCAGTGGCCTGCCCTCTGTCGGAAGGAGCCACCAGCCTCCGCCTCCCCTTCTCCCTTGCTGTACCTCTCTCTGTCCTCTCCCCACCCCCACCCTGTGTTCTCCACGTCGAGGCTGCTCTTCCCCTGGCTCCCCTGCGCTCAGTGACCCTAGGAGGGGCTGGGGCTGGGGCAGTGTGGGGGACAGAGCCGTGGACGCCACACCGTGCATCTCTGCCCTCTGCCTGGACCTCGGGTTCTGACCGAATGCCCTTCTGCCTCTTCAGGAAAAGGACCCACTCCCCGTCCTCCAAGGATGAGCAGTCAATTGGGCTGAAGGACTCTTTGCTGGCCCACTCCTCCGACCCCGTGGAGATGCGGAGACTCAACTACCAGACCCCAGGTAGGGCAGCTCCTCCAGCCTGCCTGCCCCAGCCCCTGCCTGCAGGTCCCCGGGGTCTCCGCTGAGGGACCCTGGCCTCATGCCCTGTTCCCGTTCCTCCTTGTCGCCTTTCTCCCTGTATCATCCACTTGGCTGCAGTGACTGGGGAGCCCCAGATCCAATAGCTAGATCGGCGCTCTGGGGCCCAAGAGCCCGTCAGGGGAGGCCAGGCAGCTTAGGCCCTGCCTTGTCTTTGGTCTCCGAACATAGGCCAAGGAGCCTCACACAGCCCACACCCCCACCATGCACCGGCACTCGGCCCCTCCACGTGAAAGACAAATGTGTTGGTAGAAAGTGCCACATCAGACACTTGTGGGACCCGTCCTGGCGGCTGGCCCCAGCTTTCCCATGAGAGCATGGGGGCCCTGCACAGGGCCTGGTGCCTGCTTTTCCTTTCCCAGCCGCTCTCACGAGACCCTCTGGTTGTTCCTTCTACCCAGAGTGCCGCTCCCTCCCTGTGCCCCAGCAGACACGGCTCAGACCTCTCTTCCTGGGTGATACCTCCCAGACCGCCCCAGCCCCCACACAGGCCTGGGGCGGTCTCCCCTCAGCTCCCAGAACCCCTCTGCTTCCTCTGTCACGACACCTCCCACCCTGGGCTGGCAGTGCCTCAATGACAGTCCGAGCTCCGGGGAGCCGGGGGCTGTGTCTCGCCCGTCCGTCATCCCTGGTCTTGTGCGCACGGCGGGGTCTGGCTGGGTGCCTGTGACACAGACACACGACAGCAGCATGAAGGAGCGCGCTGACACGCACACAGGCTCGTGTGTGCAGGAGCTCATTTTTCCTGCGTGTCAGATCACCCCAAAACTTAATGGCTGAAAACAACAGTGATTATGTATTATCCCTCTCAGTGTTTGTGAGTCAGGAAGGCAGACAGGAGCACAGCAGCCCGCACGGCTTGTCTCTGCTCCAGGGCCTCCAGGCCCTCAGCCGGAAGACGTGAAGTCTGGGGGCTGGAATCATTGAAAGCGGGGGTCAGCAGACGATGGCCCGTGGCCAACCACCTGTTTTTGCAGATAAGGTCTTATTGGAACACAGCCATGCCCATTCATTTATGTATTGTCCATGGCTGCTGTCCCACTGCAAAGGCAGAGTTAAGTAGATGTGGTAGATTCGTTACGTCCACAAAGCCAAAAATACTTGCTGTGTGGCCTTTCATAGAAAAGTTTGCTGAGCCCTGAATCCTGAAGACTCATTCATTCACGTGTCTGGTGGTTGATGCTAGAATCCGCCCCACGCCCGCCTGAGTTTGTCCGCTGTCACAGCCACATGAAGCCTCTTCCTGTGGCCTGGGCTCCCTGAGGACATGGAGACTGAGTTCTGAGGGCACACGTCCTGAGAGAGAGGACCAGGCAGACCCAGCACGCTGCTGCAACCTGGGTATCTGTGAGGCACCAAAGCTCCAGGGTGCTGGGGCCCCGGAGGGCCGGGAAACCTTCTCTGAGAGGGATGCCAAGCCATACGGGTATTAACCACCCACAGGGGTGGGAGGAAGCTCTCGTCGGTGGAACTAGTGCGCACAGGCGCGGCTCGGGCGCTAAGTGTTCTGCTGCACTGGGGCCGGGGCTGTGGAGAGCCCGGAGATGAGGCTGCAGAGTTAGGCGGATGTCCAGTCACAGCGGAACCTGAGCAGCAGGCTCAGGGGTTTGGGCTTCCCCTTGAGGGGACCAGGGAGGCATGAAAGGTTTTCCCCAGGGGAGCGCAAGGTCGGAATTGTGCTTTAAAAATATCTCTGTCTGCTGTGTGGAAGACAGGTCAAAGGGAGAGAAATTGGGGCGGGAGCCTGTTTAGAAGGCCACCGAGTGAGTGGAAGGTGGGAGGGTGGCAGTGGGGCTGAGGGAAAGGTGGGCCCAGAGAAGCATGAAGGAGGCAGGGCAGCGGGGACTGGGCTGGCCTGCACGTGGGGTGAAGCCAGGGGCCACGCAAGGATGGCTCCTCCTTGCTGGCCAGTAGTGGGGTGGGAGCAGGGGTTCTGGGTGGCAGTTGAGTCTGTGAGTCTGGACCTTCGCTCTGACATCCTGGCCAAAACCACAGGCGTGGGAGGTGCCGAGGAGTAGGCAGCGGTCAAAGTAGAGTAGATGAGCGACCCAGGAGAAGAGGGGGCGGAGAGAGCGCCAGGGAAGGAGGTGAAACGCTGAGGGAGGATGGGTGACGTGTAGCCTAGGAGGTTACAGTGTCCCCGGAAGCCAGGGCGGGGAGGGCTGTGTGGGAGGGGATTTGGTGATGTATAGCGGCTGGAGACCCAGGGGGCAGGGGACCATCGGCTTGGGCTATAGGCACTTGGAGAGAGCATGGCAGCCGAGCCTGAGGGCAGAAGCGTTTCAGTGCCTTGAGGAGCAGTGAACAGGGAAGGAACAAGTGGAGAAACCCTTTCAGAGGCCAAGTGCGAAGGCCAGGAGGGGCAGGAACAGGGCAAGGGAGGAGAGGGGTAAGAGATCCAAAAAGGATTTTTCTTCTTTCCCACATGGCATTATTAACGGTCATTGGTCATTTGAGTGAGCATCTGAGACTCGGGGTTCAAGCCCTGGGTGTGGGGTATGAGTTAGCCTGGGAAAGGTGTGTTGGGGGTGCCTTTGGAGCTCCGGGCCAGGAGGGAATAGGATGCAGGTGAGGTGGTATAAGGGGACACATTGCTGGAGTTCTTGGTGCTAGGCCTGTTTCCTCTGGGATGAGAGGGAAGGGGTTAGAGCAGGGTCGTGAGAGAGGTCACGGCCTGGGAATGTGCATGCCCGGGAGGATTGCTGAGCAGCCTCAGCACCCAGGGGACAGATCCTGAGTTCCGGTGACTGCAGGAGCCAGAGGGAAGGAGGAGGGAAGAAAAGGAGGTCCGCAGTGGTGTTCAAGGCCAAGGGCAGGGGCCCAGGGGCCAGAAGGACAGGAGGCTGTGGCCCAGGTCAGGCAGTGGGGAGGGGCATGGTGAGCATCACCAAAAACCTGGAGATCAAGGAACTGAGGCTGCTGGTGGGGAGAGGTGCCCCTGTGGACACGGGCAGTGGTGAGTGAACCAGGGACCCTAGAAAAGCAAGGGACATGGGGGGAAGGGTCATCAGAGGGAGAGATGGAGATGGGGAAAAAACACAGTAAAACAAGGGACAGTGGTGGGGGCTGTGGGGATGGCGGCACTCTCCACGGCTCAGGGTCTCCACAGTTTTTTTTTCTCTTATCGTTTGATTTTTATTCTGAAAATTTTTCGACCTCACAGAAAAGCTGCCAGAGCGATCCGTCATCGTCTGCGTGTTCTCGGGCAGACTGACCCTTTCGTTTCTTGCCACACAGGCCTCATTTCTCTATACAAAAGCATAGTTCGCTTTTGCCAATTCATCTGAAAATAGCTAAGGTTTAATTTTGGTACCTCAGGGGACAAGGGTTGGTTTGGACCAAGAATGTAGTTATAAAAAGAGGCCTCCCGGACCCCCGGGAGCTGGGAGTGCCCAGCTCTGGGTGGGAAAGTGGTCTGTGCCCCTCGAGAGGCAGGAGGAGGCCTGTGCTGGGGCTTGGCTCGGTGCCCCTGCCCCTCCCTCCTCCTGCCCGCCCCTCCCCAGCCTGCTCGGCCCCTTCCCCACCTTGCCCGCCCCCCCCACGCTATATTCCACTATGGTGTAACCAGAGAAGGTTAACGGGATTTCTTCTCTTGCCCTGCTATTTTTTGTTTTGTTTTGTTGTTTTCCCCTGCAGGTTCCAGTGTCCCCAGTTGCCCGAATATCTCAAGTTAGTTTTTCAAGTTCCCGTGTTTGGGGCCTCCTCTGGCTTCTGTGTCTGTTTCCTCCACTTTTTCTCGCCCCCATCACCACCCTTCTCCTCTGATTCTCTCCTCCCCTCTCTTCCTTCCCCCTTCCTGCTGCCCCATCTTTCCCCTTCTCCGACCTCCCCCTCTCCTACTTGCTTCCTCCAGCTTTGTTCCCCCTCTCACTGGCCCTGGCCCAGTCTCTCTGCCTCTCTGGCCTCCAGCCTCAGTCTGACACCTTTCTGGGTGCCTCTTCTGTCTCCTGGGCTCCCTGTCTCCACGTCTCCCCCCTCGCCTCTGCTTCTGTCTCCGAGTCCTTCCCTGTCACTCTGCTACGTCTCTGTACTTCGTGTTCACTCCATCCATGTGCTCGATGCTGGGACGGTGATGTCGTGGAGTCTCCCACGGTGACTGGCGCCAGTGAGGGGCAGGAGGGCTGTCCACAGGCAGGCCCCCCGGGGTGCGGGCGCAGGCTGAAGAAGCCCAGAGCCCCATCCCATCAGCTGCCCCCACCTGGGCTCCAGCCCCAGACTGGGAGGGGCCAAGCCCACCAGGTGGGGCCCTGGTGCCCCCACTCAGCGCCGAGTCCCACCGACATGCTCACACGTGCTCACAGCACACCCCCTCTCTGTCCTCTCCCCTCTCCAGCCGCTGTGTGCTCCGCCATCCCTGTCGCGCCGCATGTGCTGCTGTCTCCATGCCACCAGTGCCACGTGCTCCATGGTCACACATGTTCACATGTGCACATACGTGCGTTGGGGCTGTCTCCACCGCCTCACTCAGGCTTCATGCTAACTCACCCTGTGTGTGCCCCCAGGTATGCGAGACCACCCGCCCATCCCCATCACTGACCTAGCGGACAACATTGAGCGCCTCAAAGCCAACGATGGCCTCAAGTTCTCCCAGGAGTATGAGGTGAGACATCCCCACCCCCGGCCAGGTGCATGACCCAGGCCTAACCCCACGCCTGCGTCTGTCCTGTCTCGAGTCCCAGCTGTGGGTCGGGGGCTTCCCCAGACCACGCATCGGAGGGGTCAGCAGTGGCAAGTCGGGAACTCAGCCCCTCGGGTGCTGGGCCTGGCCGAGGCCCTCCCAGTAGCTTGGGCCTGGACACTCAGACACCCGCCCAGGTGCTCACCAAGGCAGGCAGAAGGTCACACGCACACACACATCCACACTCGTGTCAGTACCAAGGGCTGGCGTTGATCAGAAGCTCACCGTGAGCCAGCACTGGGTTAAGCACTTCGCGCACCTCGCCGCATTCCGTCCTCTCCACAGCCCTGTGTGGTGGGCATTGGGATCCTCCCGTCTTAGAGAGGAGGAGGCTGGGGCTCAGAGAGGGGAGGGAGCTTGCCCAGGGTCAAACAGCTGACGAGCAGGGGAGCCAGGATTCGCACCCAGGCCTGCCTGATACCGGGCCCTGCCCGCGCCCTGCACCGGCGTGTGCTCTCATGTCAGAGCTGCACAGATCACAGAGATGGGGAGTCGGGGAACTCAGGTGAGGCTGCAGAAACCCTCCCTTGCAGGGCCCTCCGCACTCAGGCTTCACTCAGACCTTGACTCCTCCCTGCTGGGAACTCAGACTTCAGACCACTGTTCCCTGGGCCTGGGGTCTGAGGGCCTCCTAGTTGCCCAGCTGGGAGGCGCTTTGCCAGTGAAGGCGGTAACAAGGGGAGCCCTGCCTCCTCTGAGGGGCCCAGAGGGAGCCATGGTCATGGCTCAGCCCCGCTGTTCCCCCTGCTTCAGGCACAGACCTCACGTGGAATTCACCCCCGATCCGTGAGGGGTGGGGGGCGAGGGAACGACTGGCTCAGCCCAGCTGGGAGTTTGCTTCTCTCTGGTCAGATGTCCAGGCCGTGTGTGTGGTTCCCTGGGCATCGAGGCTGCCCTTCCAGGGCTGCAGGCAGGCAGGTTCCAGGGCTGTGGGCCAGGTTTCTGCAGAGGACGCGGAGCTTGGCAGGCAGGTTGGTGAACAAGTCTGCCACGAGGAAAGCGTGCCGCCTCTCCCCACAGAGCACCCACCAGGCCCTGCTTTGCGTAAGGCCCTGCTTCGAGGGTAACAATTCCAGTGAGTTGGGCTCCCTGCCTTCAGTCCATCAGCTGGCCGGAAAGGCCTCCCGTGGTCTTCAGCCCATGCACACTCAGTGCCGCGCCCCACGCCTGCCTTTCCTCCCAGTGAGGCTCTGTGCTGCCTGCCCAGGCCCAGGGTTCCCCTGTCCACCTTGGCCCACTTTTCTCCTCCAGCCTGGGCTTTCCTTATAAGAGCTTCCTCCTTCAGGAAGTCTTCTCTGGCTGCCTTGGCCTGCCGTGGGCTTTCCGTCAGCTAAGATCCCATAGTTCTGTTACCTTCAATGGTCAGTCAGTCACTCATCACACATTGTCAAGCACCTGCCATCCACCACCTCTGTGCTAGGGATAAGGAGACAGATGGCCTTGGGGAGCTCAGTCCTCGGAGAAGGGAGTGCAGACAGATAATCAACATGGAGTAGAATAATGTGCCTTAGCAGTGAAGGTGACAGACGTGCAGAGAAGGTAGGCTGGGGGGCAGGGCGCGCTGGGCGGGCTCACGGAGGCAGTGCACGCTGTCCCTTGGAGAGCAGCGGGCTGGCGTCAAGGCATGGAGGACGTCGTGTGCTGTGCTGAGAACTGGATTGAATCCATCTGTAAAAGGAAGATAATAATAGAACCTGCTTCATAGGAGGTTTAGACGAGGGAATCCATGCAAAGTGCTTAGAGCAGTGCCAAGCATGCAGTAAGTTCTCAAAGTTCTCACTAAGATTGAGCTGTTATTATTGTCGTTGGAGGTGAGGCAACGAGGAGCCGTGGAAGTCACTAAGCAGGAAATTGGCCATTAGATCTACATTGTGTAAGGATTGTTTGTTGTGTAAAGAGGCTGCTGGCTGTTTGGACTGGAGGCTACAAGCTGGGTTCTGGGCAGCTCCAGCACACGGATGCGAGGTCCTACGACAGGGTGAGGTCACCCTGGAAAAGTTGTAGAGGTCGAAGAGGGCCGGGAATGAACCCTGGAGGAGCACTGTGCCCTGCCTACTGAGTGGGTGGGTGGGAGGGGAGGAGTCAGAAGAGAACCAGCCAGAGAGGTAGGAGAACCAGACAAGGCCGTGTATGGGTGTCCGGGGCCCTAGGCAGTGGCGGGCACCGCACAGCGGGCTGCCGTTGCTTCCTCTCGTTCTGCGCTCATTTCTTTACTTGGGTGCAGGGCCTGAGGGACTTCCCCCTGCCCTCAGCTCACTCCTAGTCACTGCAGGCAAGGGGATTTGGTGCCATAGCCAGAAGTGGTGTGGCAGCCCTGGAACCTCATGACTGGGGGAACCAGAGCTCACTCTTCACTGGAGCCTCGGACTAGAGGGGCTGGCCGTGGCCCAGGAGCGAAGACAGGATGCGGGCGCCACCCGGAAGGCTAGGTCTCCCTTGGGGGCAGGAGGCAGACCTCCGTGCTCACCCTCTCCACCTGCCTCCTCTGTTCTCTGTAGTCCATTGACCCTGGACAGCAGTTCACGTGGGAGAATTCAAACCTGGAGGTAAACAAGCCCAAGAACCGCTACGCAAATGTCATTGCCTACGACCACTCTCGTGTCATCCTTACCTCCATCGATGGTGAGCCAAGGGCGGGCCCCCTCCCATCCCCTGCTCTCCTCCTGGCCGGCCGGGGTGACAGTGCACTCTGTGGAAGAGGCCCTCGAGTCCTGGGGGTGCACCGAGGCGTGGTGGGTGGGGACCGGGGCCTTGGAATAACGCTCTCCCATGTCCCTTCCCACCCACAGGTGTCCCGGGCAGCGACTACATCAACGCCAACTACATCGACGGCTACCGCAAGCAGAACGCCTACATCGCCACGCAGGGCCCACTGCCCGAAACCATGGGCGACTTCTGGCGGATGGTGTGGGAGCAGCGCACGGCCACCGTGGTCATGATGACTCGGCTGGAGGAGAAGTCCCGGGTAGGACCGTGCGGGGCTCTGCCGGGAGGTTCAGTGGGAAACACTTGGCCACCACGTGACTCCGGGCACCTTGTGCTGCCCCTGGGGAGAGAAGTTCCGCAAGGGACTCGCCAAGTGCTGTTTTCCTGGGGTGTTATCATCACGGTCCCCAGACACTGGTGGGTTCCTAGGATGTTAATATGTTGCACCAGATGCCGCATTTTCTGGGAACATTGACGTGTTCCCCAGTTGCTGGCGTGTTCCCGGAATGTTGACATGTTCCCCAGATGCCAGAGTGTTCCTGGGGCACTAACACATCTCCATAGTTAATTAGTGGAAAGAGCTGCTGTTATCTGCTTTTGCACTGCAAATTGTTGACTGGAACGTAAAATTTACAGAGCTTGAAAATGGCACATAAACGTTATGGGTAAATTTGGCAGAAAATGTGCCTGGTGCGATCTGGTCATGAATAAATAAATTTCAATTACGGCCCTGAGTCCCCCAGCTAGGGCCGGGGTGGCGACGTCACGTGAGAACCTGATGCGGTTTGGTGAGGGGACGGCAGGGTGGAGCTGAGAGTCCGGGGCATCTGGTATCCTGGCAGGCTAGACTGCCCTCCCTGCCTCTGCCCCAGGGCCCCTGTCCCTCTGAACCTTTGGGCACTTCCAAACATCCTTGCACCCTGCCCTGCTGGTCACTTTGCAGGTGAAGTGCGACCAGTACTGGCCAGTCCGTGGCACCGAAACCTATGGACTCATTCAGGTGACCCTGCTGGACACAGTGGAGCTGGCCACCTACACTGTGCGCACCTTTGCGCTCCACAAGGTATGGCCTGCAGTGCCGGTCCCGCGCAGGCCCTGTAAGGACGGTAGTTGGAGTGTGGCATGCTGGGCAGGGGCAAGCAGGAACCTGAGTCGGAGGCTAGGGACTCGGAGGTGTGGGGTGCACTGCGATGGCCAGCCCAGGTCTCTGTGCCCTGAGCCTGTGGCAGGCAGTCTCCCAGTCATGCCGTCTCTCCCCACATTCTCCCCAGAGTGGCTCCAGCGAGAAGCGGGAGCTCCGTCAGTTCCAGTTCATGGCCTGGCCAGACCACGGAGTCCCTGAGTACCCGACCCCCATCCTGGCCTTCCTGCGGCGGGTCAAGGCCTGCAACCCACTAGATGCGGGGCCCATGGTGGTCCACTGCAGGTGAGGGGCTATGGCGCCAGCGCAGGGGTGGGGCGGGAGGCGGGAGGCGGGTGGACCTCTGCCCCAAGCCGAGCCATGTCCTGCAGCGCGGGCGTGGGCCGCACGGGCTGCTTCATCGTGATCGACGCCATGCTGGAGCGCATGAAGCACGAGAAGACGGTGGACATCTACGGCCACGTGACGTGCATGCGGTCCCAGCGCAACTACATGGTGCAGACGGAGGACCAGTACGTGTTCATCCACGAGGCGCTGCTGGAGGCCGCCACGTGCGGACACACGGAGGTGCCTGCCCGCAACCTCTACGCCCACATCCAGAAGCTGGGCCAAGTGCCTCCTGGGGAGAGCGTGACTGCCATGGAGCTCGAGTTCAAGGTGGGCCGAGGGGTGGGCCTGGACTGGGTCGTGGGGATGAGACCCCCCGGGAAGCCAGGCCCAATCGGTGCCTCCCTTTCCCTAGTTGCTGGCCAGCTCCAAGGCCCACACATCCCGTTTCATCAGCGCCAACCTGCCCTGCAACAAGTTCAAGAACCGCCTGGTGAACATCATGCCCTACGAGTTGACCCGTGTGTGTCTGCAGCCCATCCGGGGTGTGGAGGGCTCCGACTACATCAACGCCAGCTTCCTGGACGGCTACAGGTCAGCATGCTTGTGTCTGCCCACCATACCCCGTGGACACCTAGGCCTGTGGCTGGCTGGCTGGGGGCGCAACAGAGTAGGGTTCGCCCAGACTTCCTGGAGGAGGGTGACCTGAGTGGGGCCCCAAGGGACTAGGCAGTCTTGGGGAGGACCCTGGGAGCACAGCACCGCCAGCATGTCCAGTTTATGTCCACCCCAGACAGCAAAAGGCCTACATAGCCACGCAAGGGCCTCTGGCAGAGAGCACCGAGGACTTTTGGCGCATGCTCTGGGAGCACAACTCCACCATCATCGTCATGCTGACCAGGCTTCGGGAGATGGGCAGGGTGAGCCCACCCCCCCACCCAGGGCCCCCCTTACACCTGGCAGTACACCAGCCTCCCCCTTGCTCTTCTCTCCTTTCATAACCCAGCCTCCCATCAGCATAGCCTCTGACCATCCCCCTCCATTATCGCCACCTGAGGGGTCCTGTCCCAGAACCCTCTGATACCTAGAAACGCCCCCCTCCCACTCCCTCCCACCTGATCATGGGGGCCGGGCCCTCTGTCCACAGGAGAAATGCCACCAGTACTGGCCAGCAGAGCGTTCTGCTCGCTACCAGTACTTTGTCGTTGACCCAATGGCCGAGTACAACATGCCACAGTATATCCTGCGTGAATTCAAGGTCACGGATGCCCGGGTGAGTTTGGACGGGGGAGCATGTGTATTTGCAAAACAGCACGTCTTAACTGCCTGAGCACGTGTGGGGCGGGGGCTGCCTGCATGGTACCCTAACTCCAGCTGCAGGAGTCTGAGGCTCCAGTGAGAAGAGGCTGGGGGCCAACTCCCAGGGTGCTTACCTGTGTCATTGTCCTACTCTCCTGGCCTTGTGGGGCCACAGCCTGAGGGATCAAACTCATTTCCTGTCTCTCCCAGGATGGGCAGTCAAGGACAATCCGGCAGTTCCAGTTCACAGACTGGCCAGAACAGGGCGTGCCCAAGACGGGGGAGGGCTTCATCGATTTCATTGGGCAGGTGCACAAGACCAAGGAGCAGTTTGGACAGGATGGACCCATCACGGTGCACTGCAGGTGGGGCCCGCTGCCAGAGGGCGGGGCGGGGGTGGGGGCAGGGGCAGGGGCAGCCTGCAGGCCTGGTAGACATGACCCCTGACCTCATGCTGTCCCCAAGCAGTGCTGGCGTGGGCCGCACCGGGGTGTTCATCACTCTGAGCATCGTCTTGGAGCGGATGCGCTACGAGGGCGTGGTGGACATGTTCCAGACGGTGAAGACCCTGCGCACCCAGCGCCCAGCCATGGTGCAGACGGAGGTACGTGGGCCGGCGCATGGGCACACACCACCGACACTGACCGTGGCCAGCTCTGCCTGGGGCTCTGGGGCTGGATGGGTGGGACGTGGGCCTCCTTCAGCAGCTCTGCACCGAGCACTACTGGTGTGCCCGGCTGCCCCTGGGGTTGGATGTAGGGGTCCTCACAGGGGATCGTCAGGTGAATGTGAGTAGTGGGAAGGGGAGTGAGATGGGCTTTCACAGGTTTTTTTCGGGCTCTCTGGACATAGCCTGGGGCAGATGTCTGGGCCTAGCACCTGCTCCTGGCCGGCAGAGGCTAAGTTTGTGGCACGTCGGCTGCAGTGTGAATGCCCTCGGCCGCATGTTGGGGTACCTGCTGGCCCTGTCCATGCCGACCATCCGGCCATGCCCCTGTCCCGGCAGGACCAGTACCAGCTGTGCTACCGTGCAGCCCTGGAGTACCTCGGCAGCTTTGATCACTATGCAACGTAACTACCGCAGCCTCTCCTTCGCCGCCCCTGCCTGGGGGCTCCGGAGGGGACCCAGCTCTTCTGAGCCATACCGACCATCATCTAGCCCTTCTGCACGGATGCCATTGGTGGCAGAGCACAGCCCACCGGGATCACAGCGTTTCAGGAACATTGCCACACCAAACAGAGAGCCCAGAAACCCCCGGCGAGGGGGTGGCCGGCAGGCAGCCCATCTCTACCCTCCAGGCCTGCCCGGAGCCTGCTGGAACTCTCTGTTCCGTTGCCGCGTTTCTCATGCTTCTTCTCACGGGGTGGGGATGGGGCAAGGCCTCCTTTTATACATTCAGTGGAGTAGACGAAGGGATTCCAGCCTCTTCCCTCTGACTTTTCCTTTTGCAAATTCCTAGCTGCAGAATGGGCTGCTGTTGGGGCTGGGGTGTCATCTCCTTTCTTTTTTGAGTTCACTTGGATCCTTTTTTTTTTTTTTTGTATAACTTTTATTGCTGAAGGACGAACATGCCTTTTTTACTCGTGTGGAGCTGGGGCCGCAGCCTGAGCGGGGGTCTCACTGATCCAACGCTTTCCAGGCCTTTCAGACAAGATCCTGTTTCAGCCAAATGCAGGGAACAATTTTTTTTTTTAGTTTAGTTTTGTTTTCCTTAAGGGCCTTATTTCAGGCGCCACAGGCAGTGGTGGGCGGGGAAGAGATAGGAAACACTCAGCCCCAGTCATCTGTTCCAGTGTGTGTGTAAGTCACAGCCCAGAACCGTGGACGTGTCTGGGGGAGCCTGGCGAGGCGTTCTCATCACCATCGTGTTTGCAAAGGTTAAAAAAAGCAACAACAAAAAAACAACAAACAATCTAAAAAAAAATCAAAAAAAGAGAAAAAGATAAAAAAAGAGAGAGAGAGAGAGAGAGTCATTTCCTGGCCTCTGCTTCAAACCCCTGAGAGGGGAGGTGGCTCCCTTTGCCTGGGGCTCCCGGGGAGCTGCCAGGCTGACCTCTGGACCTGCGGAGGCTGGCTTTTGTCCCCAGCATTTTGGTGTGGCGGTGTGGTGTGGTGTTGGTAGGTTGGGGGTCTGGTCACGCGGCCAAGGCAGTTGGCACAGGTCAGGGTGTGTGCCACACCCTGCACACCTCAGGGCCAAGCAGGGGCACGGCTGGCCCTTCAGGTCCGGGCCAGTGGGCCGGGTAGCACATGTCTGTACTCAGAGAAGGGGCCAGAGGATCTTCCTCCCTGGTTTGCAGCTATTTTCCAAGCCCAAGAGAATTGCTCTTTTCCACTCCTTCAAGATGCCCTCATAAACCAATGTGGCAAGACTACTGGAATTCTTTTAATGGTACTATAATCAATCCTTATAATCTTGGCTTGCTGAGGGGCAGGGAGAGGGCCTCTTCCTCTGGGCAGCACTATCTAGGTAGGTAAGTGGGGGCGGGGAAGGGTGCATAGCTGTTTTAGCCAAGGGACATGGAGCAGACGTCCCAAGATCTAGCTAGGCTCGGTCAAGATCAACAATCCAGGGTTGGTAATGTTGGATGAAACATTCATTTTTACCTTGTGGATGCTAGTGCTGTAGAGTTCACTGTTGTACACAGTCTGTTTTCTATTTGTTAAGAAAACTACAGCATCATTGCATACTTCTTGATGGTAATAAATTTGAATAATCAGATTTCTTATAAACCGGGCCTCTGTCTCAGCTCTTTCCGGAACCAGAGTCTGGCCTCTGTAAGTCAGTACCTAAGGGTAGGTGCTGGTGACTGCCTGCTCCTAAGGAGCCAGGGGCGTGTCGTGAGTATTTGTGACGAGGTGGGCTCTTGGCACGGTGCTTGCTTTCAGAGAGGAGCAGTTACAAACCCTGAAGACTGAGCCACCGGTGCTTATACCGAGCTCCCCCCGTGGCATCAGCTCCCTGGACTGGGAGCAGGCGTACCCTTGGTAGAGAGTCATAGTGAAGGAGCCTACCACAGAGGTGCTGTGGGTGCACTGAGACAGCACCTGACCCTGTGGTAGGGTCAGGGAAGGCTTCTTGGAGCAGGTGACATAAGCTGGCCTCTTGAGTGTTTCCTGAGGTAAGTAGTGATTCACTTTATTTTTTTTTCCACTCCAAGTCAAATAATCTTCCATCACCATTTATCCCCACTTTGCCCTATCTTATCTCCCCCCACCCTCCTTTCCCTATCTTATCTCCCCCACCCTCCTTCCCCTCCCTCTGATAATCACCTTACTGTTATCTGTGTCAGTCTTTTTTTTTTCTTTTAACTTAATCCCTTCACCTTTTTTTTTCCACCAAGCCCCTTCCCTCTTGACAGCTGTCAGTCCGTCCTCTGTATCTGAGTCTGTTCCTGTTTTGTTTGTTAGTTTATTGTGTTCATTAGAATGCACATATAAGTGAAATCATTCAATACTTATCTTTCCTTGCTCATCTTGTTTAGCACCCAGTCAGGGGAAGACATGTAATCTCACAGCAAAGTACAGGGTGGGTCCTATTATGCCCCTTTGTAGATGAGAAAATTAGGTCTCATCCACTCATTCAACACATACTTAATGAGCATTTGCTATGTACTGGTCATATTAGCGTACTGAGCAAAGACTTCTTCCCTCGTGGTATTTACACTCTCATCAGATGAAACAGGATGCTTGCAAAAAATAAGGAGTTTGTTTGGAAGTAGAGGTGCGGGGATTAGGGGCCAGATTATTAGGGTGATCAGAGAAAGACTCATTGAAAAGATGGGATTTGAGGGAAGATTTGAAGGTGGTGAGAGATTTTTGCCTCAACATCTTCAAAACGAGCTTGCTGCCAGCGGGAACAGCTGGAGCAGAGGTCATGCACGGGACAGAACGTGCCTGAAGTGCTGCGGCTGGTGCAGCTGTGGTGCTGCGAGCAGAGGGCGAGAGGGTCGTGGGGGATGAGGTCAGAGAGCGAATGGGCCAGCTCCAAGGACCTGGGGAGGGCTGTGGCGGAAGTCCAGGCATGGTGGGCCCTGGCTGGGTGGCTTAAAGCATCGGTTAAAGCATCCAGTACACCAAGGTTGTGGGTTCAATCTCCATTCAGGGCACATACAAGGATCAATCAATTAAAGCCTAAATAAGTGGAACAATAAATTGATGTTTCCCTTTCTCTCCCTTTTCTCTCTAAAATCAATAAATTAAAAAACTTTTAAAGTGAAAGAAATACAACAAAACATTACCACTTCCCTCTGGGTAGTGGAAATGTAGGATTAAAAAAGAAAGAAAAATCCAGTCCTGAACACTGTTTGACGTTCAGTGTCACTTGTGAGGCAAAAGGTTGTTGGTTCAATTCCCAGTCAGGGCACATGCCTGAGTTGTGGGTTTGGTCCCGAATTGGGATGCATGCAAGAGATGACATTTCTCTTGCGTGTTGATGTTTCTCTCTCTTTCTCCCTACCTTCTCCCCCCCCCCCCGTATATGTGTGTATACACACTCACATATTTTCAGAAAGAAAGAAGGAATGAATGTCCAAGTGTGGTGAAAAGTAGCTAGATACTGGTTATAAGTTAGAGGTAAAACTAAGGATTTCCTTACAGAGTGGATGGAGAAAATGAGGAGTCAAGGTTGACCACATGGTTCTGGCCTGAGCAGCTGGAAGGATAGGGCGGATCTTGAGAGCTGAGCAACCTGAGCAACCTACACAAGGTTCCCAGTGGGAGGGTGGTGGAGTTGCTGTCGCTGCTAGGTCTGCCTGACTACAGGGCTCATTCCGCACTGTAGGTGCCTCTCTGTGGAAACAGTCAGGTGCATTGAAAAAAAATATTTGGAAGGAAATACACCAAAAGTTGTGAGGTTAGGTGATTTTTTAAATTTTAGAGATAGAAACATTGATTTGTTGCCTCACTTATTTGTGCATTCACTGGCTACTTCTTCTATGTGCCCTGACCAGGGGATCGAACCAGCAGCCCTGGCATATTGGGACGACACTCTAACCAAATGAACTACCTGGCCATGGCCAGTTGGGTGATTTCTTTCTATGTAATTTTCCAAGTGTTCTGTAAAGAATTAATAGCATTTAGCCCTGGCTGGTGTGGTTTGGTGGATTGAGCCCCGGCCTGCAAACCAAAGGGTTGTTGGTTCAATTCTAAGTCAGGGCACATGCCTGGGTTGTGCGCCAGGTCCCCAGTAGGGGGCGCATGAGAGGCAACCACACATGGATGTTTCCCTCTCCTCTTTTCCTCTCTAAAAGTAAGTAAATACAATTTTTTTAAAAGAATAGCACTTAGAAAAAGAATTAATAGCACTTTAATTTCTAGAAATACAAACTTTTAAAATTATACAATGTTTTTATTTTTTATTTTTAGAGAGAGGGGAAGGGAGAGAAACATCAATGTGTGGTTGCCTCTCACATATCCCCATGTGAGGACCTGGCCAACAACCCAGGCAAGTGCCCTGACTGGGAATCGAACCAGAGACCCTTTGGTTCACAGTCTGGCACTCAATCCACTGAACCACAACAGCCAGGGCTAAAATTATACAATGTTTTTAAAAACTACAAAAATCTTGCAAACAGGAAAGAAGTTGTAAAATATTAAAGTCCCCATTCTCACCCTGTCCCCCAGCTCCCTGGAGGGAGTCACAATTTAGTCTATATCAGCTCTGGCTGGCATAGCTCAGTGGATTGAGTGCGGGCTGCGAACCAAAGTGTCTCAGGTTCGATTCCCAGTCAGGGTACATGCCTGGGTTGCAGGCCATGACCCCCAGCAACCACACATTAGTGTTTAAAAAAATTTTTAAAAAGAAACAATTTAGTCTATATCTGGGCATTTTCTATAAATGTACAAACATGTTTATAAATTTTGTTTTTTTAAGATTTTATTTATTTTTAGAGAGGAGAAGGAAATGAGAAAGGGAGAGAAATATTGATGTACCAGAGATACATAGATCGGTTGCCTCTCACACACCCCCAACTGGGGACGTGGCCTGCAACCCAGGCATGTACCCTGACCGGGAATCGAACCAGCAACCTTTTGGTTTGCAGGCTGGCACTCAATCCACTGAGCCACACCAGTCAGGGCTATAAACTTTATTTTCCCTACGAGAATCATGTTACTCACATCTTCCTGCAAATTGTCCTTTTCACTCAAGTGTATTGTGAATTTCCACATGAGTGCCTCATTTTGTAAACCACTACATACTCTTCAGTTATAGATGTGCCATCATTTTAAAAAATGGTTATCAATATAACATTTTTGTTTCCGAAGTGGACGTACATGATAAAATAGATCAAAATAATTCAGTCTTGAAGGATACACAATCTCTGCTCCCCAACTCTAGTTTCATCCCCTGGAGCGTCTGACTTCGGTTCGGGTGGTGAGCATCACATCCTCTGTAGGTGGTCTCTCCGTTGATGGTTCCCGGTGACTCCGCAGTAAAGTGCTGGGTTTAATTAAATTATATGGTCTCCCACCTGTACCTCCTGATTTTGTTAGATACAGTATTTTAATTCTTCCGGAGCTCCCCCATGACTTTAAGTAATATATTTAAATATCTATTTATCACCCAAGGCAGTATCTATTGATTACCCTCTATGAAGAATGAGGAAATTAGTTCGCTTTCCCTGATCCCCTTCCTCCTTCCTCCAGCTACCTTTTTTTTTTAATTATTATCTCACATTGTCAAGTGTATAATACTTTTCTGTTCTATTTCTGTAATTAAGTCTTTCATTCTAAAAATTGAAAATCAATAAACAGCATTTTAATTGCATGTTTATGAAAAAATCTTTCAAGCATTATTTTCAAATAAGTCTTCCGATTTTTCCTCCATGCCCCTCACTGCTGGATCGCACTAAGTGGCCGCGTTTCTGGTGCAGCCTGTTAGTCTTCCCCTTGCCTTTGGTGACGTGCCCCTCGTGAAATGTTTTCACTTAAGATTATAAAGTTTCTGATTCTCGTAGGTCTTACAATCTCTTTTAGACATACTCTCAGTTTTAATTTTGCCATCTGTGCTTAAAGATTTCCCCAGAAACCGCTAAAGATACCGTGTCGGGTTCTCCATGAACCTGCTGCTGGAGGAGGAAGGCTGGACCGCAACTGCTGAGGCCTCACTAGGGGGTCTCGTTATCAGATTCCCCTGGTGTTTGCCGCGTCACCCACTCTGATTTCTTTACCTGAAGCCTCTGAAATTAAAACTTGTCCAGCCCTCTCTGGGAGAACGATCCTTGACTAGACATCTTGGGCTGTGGTTTTCTTAGCTCTGTTTTCTTTGTCAATCTGATTCCATTGCTACTATCTTTTTAAAGATATATAGATATTTATTTATTTACTTACTTTCAGAGAGAGGGGAAGGGAGGGAGAAGGAGAGGGAAAGAAACATCGATGTGTGAGAAAAACATCGATCAGTTGCCTCTCACACGCCCCCATCCAGGGACCTGGCCCGCAACCCAGGCATATGTCCTGACTGGGAACCAGCAGTTGACCCTTCAATTCCCAGTCCAGTGCTCAGTCCACTGAGCCACACCAGTCAGTGCCATTGCTTACTATCTTTTGGAATTCTTATTTTAAAAAATATTTTAGTGTATGGTTCATGTGAATATCTAAATCCCCCCCCCCCACACAAAATTACTTTAGATCACCCTCTTCTTCTTTGCACTGATTTGTAATTCCTCCTTTAAAAGAAAATTACATACGAAGTTTTAAGCACAGAGGTTACTTCTGGGCCTCAAGTCTGT